AAATCCACAAGGGCCGTGACGAGGATTCGAACCTACGTCCGAGAGCATCCCAGACGCTGCCTTAATCGACTGAACATGGAATGACATGGAAAAAGAATTCCATCCAGAAATTCTACTGAATTTACTTAGATCCTGCAGCCTCTCCGAGAATACAAACCAGGAAAATTCTTTTCCACGTCGTAGCTCAGAAGCATCTGCGCGGCATAAAAGTAGCAGATGTCACATCAGATCACTATCTAAGAGTTGTTATTAGGTACACGAGCACATGGAAGTACCAACATATTAATGGCCCATCAGCATAGAGCTTACAATACAAAATCCTGAATAAAGAATTTATAAGGAATATGTTACTACATTTATAAAAGTTATAGAACTAAACATTATGTTCTTGTAACTTCATGTACTGTATATATCCAACATGAAAAAATGGCAAGCCTCACGTGGGAGCTGCGAGAGTTGACAACAGCGCTTCCTGTAATTCAATTTATTTTACTCCTGCATGCGCAACATCTTCAGTCTCTTCACAGCTGCTCCCCATTGACACCTGCTCCAGGTTAATTACAATGTTATTCACAGTTCTTGTTACAATGGTAACCAAGGTAAGGGGGTGGGGGGTCAGACGTGTCCAGCGCGTCTCAACTCTCGATCCTGCCTATGTAAATATACTCTACATCTGTCGGTCTAATTAACCGGGAAAGTACTGTGTTGGTCCTCTCGATCCTGCCTTTGTAAATATACATCTGTCGGTCTAATTAACTGGGAAAGTACTGTGTTGGTTGCGAGGCTAGTTCGCCGTCAGTTTGATGTTGCTAGTTTCTGCTCACTACCAAACTTTGTCAATCAGCTTGGTGCTACCACAGCCCGTCCTCGTAAACAAAGGTCAAAGTCCATTCCATGCACCCTTACCTTGAGGTTACCATGAGGTGCTTCCGGGGCTTAGCGTCCCAGCGGCCCGGTCGTCGACCAGGCCTCCTGGTTGCTGGACTGATCAACCAGGCTGTTGGACGCGGCTGCTCGCAGCCTGACGTATGAGTCACAGCCTGGTTGATCAAGTATCCTTTGGAGGGTAGATTTGATATTGGTCTGTAATTGTTTGTCATCTGTCTCGCATCCTTTATGAACTGACGTCATACATGCTTTTTTTAAGAATATCAGGAAAGTACGACACTCCAGAAATTTGTTGAATAGCAGAGCTATGGGTAATGCAAAGGCAGGGCCAGCACTCTTATATATCGAAGATGGTATTTCATTAATGTTCCCAGCTTTGGTTTTAAGGGATTGAATTATGGATATAATGTCTATTGGGCTGACTGGTAAAATGAGTATTGAGTTAGGATAGCTGCCTGTGAGGTATGTAGTAACATGTGCCTGGGTCTCTGGGATTTTTCTGGCAAGGTTTGCACCAATTGATGAAAAGAAACTATTGAAGCTTCGATAGCTTCAGAAGAGAAATGAAATGAAATAAAGAGATGAAGAAGTAAAGAAGTAAAATTCAATCATTTCACTTTATGTTCAAATGTCAACATTAATTCAGAATTAGAGTCACCACACAAGAAATTGAGAGCAACTATGGCTGACTGCCTTTAAAAATCACACACCACTTAAATATGAAAACACAATATACGTCAACCTTACAAATTCACTCACCAAAGTGTTTGAATATATATTAGTAGAGAGGAGAGGGGTGGGGAAGGAAATGGCTAATAGACAGTCCCCACCTAGCCTGGGCCGCTGGAACACCTCTGGTGTAGTGAGGCTTCTCTCTCTCTCTCTGCATCTATCCATGTGCCTAATGTACAGTTCAAAAGGTATTTAAGGGGAAACCGGGAGCTAAGTTCCGCCTACCAGGAGATAGTCTCTGGCTATCTTCCTACCGCACCTAGACAGCGGCTTGTTTGATGGAAACAACACAGCCACCCATCTGCATTATCAGTTTAGCTGAGAGCTAGGTTACCTGATGTGACCTGACCTCTGAAGATGTGAACAATTAACACTTGAAAAGGTGTTACTTTTGAATGCTAGGAGCCGACTGCCTGGCACCACCAAAATCCTGTGTGACTTGTTTTATGTGAAATATTAAATAAAATCATCTATGGTGTTACAGAGGCCACTAATGTGTTAATGGTGCTCAGGTAAATTCAAGTAAATCTTCAGAAATTGGAAACTGACTTGCAAATGTGCAAGCCATACAATAAGCATGGTGATTGATAAGTTGCTCTTCCACAAGTTGTTTGCCTCAGTTGACCTTGGTGTTTGATACCTAACAAGCTCCACCTATTTAAATCCATGCCAAGCCCTTGCGAGTCTCAAGCTTACCAAGGACCAGAGGCCAAAACCTGGACCCTTGCACCTCTAAAGAGGTTCAAGGAGCTGAGATCATAGACCATCCTAACCAAGAAAAGGCCACCAGAAAGGTTGATGAACCAAAATGCAGTATACACACAGCAAAGTAAACAAAGGATAGAATACGGGAATTGGTGGTGAAGAAATTCTCTCCTCGGTACCACCTGACCAGAGTGTCACCAGTCCTGGTGATTGACTGCATCTTCCTCTTCGATCCATCACCCTTGACATCTGTCATATAGCCAGAAAGACAAAATGCAAAGCCCATGAATGGGGGAGGGAGGGTCCCCAAGGAGCCACCTGAAAATAACATTTCATAACATTCAATGCTGGTTTTCTGGGATGGCGCCTATTGGACCATACAAAAAGCATGATCAAAATTTATTTATGGCTATGGCAGGTAGGCAGTTCCACATATTTAGAACTCTATGGGTGAAAAAAGCATCTTGTTTTTCCTGTCCTTCACTGTGGCTTGTTAACTTGAATCCATCACTTCTTGTATGTGTTACATATGACCACTGGTGTTAAAATGGCAGCCCTCACTGAATGAATACTGTACCTATCTAATCTAATGTGTTCACATTAGAATGCTTAGACTAGCTCTCTATGCACACATGAATGTTTGAAGCAGGTGAAGGAAATTAATTGAGGGATATTCCTATAATGTGAGAAATAATCAGGAAGAGCAGTGACACACCAATGATTCAAAAACCCCCAGGCATGTACGAAATTCCATCCAATGTAAAGGGGCTGGCAGATGAACTTTGTCTACTAGTTAAACTCCTTTTTGGAAAATCTCTGGACCATTGGATAGTTTCCCTAGATTGGAAATATGTAAGCATCACCTGTATTTCCAAAAAGGTAGGAAGAACTTGGTAGAAAACTACTGCCTGATCAGCCTGACCTAACCTATCTGCAAGCTTATGGAGAGAATCCTAAGTTGAATAGTTTTGTCAGCAAAACTATCACATAACTTACATCTCAATGTAATTGAATGTGAAAAAGTCCAAGTACACTTTGTGCTATAAGCCAACATTATCACTAATGCTCAAGAAATCTTGAACATTAAACCAAAATAACATATGATGACATATAACCAAAAATTTCTAGCAAAGAATATTGATTGGCTTGTTGTAGACAGTGAACACTGTCTGTAACCTTGCACCGCTTGCAAGTTCCTTGCTTGCTTATCGCTGGACCATGTACTGTCCCTTAACATTAGATACAGCAATCTAGATACATTAAATACTAATATCAGAATGTAATTTTGGTAGCTAGAACCAAGGCAACATACTCATGATAAAACATTAATTTAAAAATGTCTTGCCAAATACTGTAACGCCAATATCTGAAATTTACATTGTTGAATATTTTATATCAAAGGATATAACACAATTTTAATGCAAGAATCTTTATTACAGACTAGATTTATTCAATGTACAATATATATTTCATGATACTTTTACCCAAATGATATTACCTTATAGTGTAAAACATGATTTGTTTCTTTGGCATTTATTCTTTTAGAGAAAATATATAATTCTATGAGACACACAGTTGTCATAAACAAAGGTCAACACAAGTGTATACACATACATCAGGATGACCTGCATTATCCTTCATCTATTTGCACAAAGCAAGTCTAGGTTGACTTGAACACATGAATACATGTTTCTTAATAACAAGTGAAAGTCAAGATTGATATTTTAAGTAACATTTACTCTGCTTTAATATGATGAGAAGGAAAGTTAATAACAAAAAATAATTGAATATCCATAATTATATTAAAATATTAAATTGCAAGTGTTGTTAACTAACATCGTCCTTCCGAAAGAAAGATTTATGTCTATTCAGCAGTCCCTGAGGATTTAACTGATAACTGTTAAATGAATTGCCTACATATATATAAACTACTGTAAGTACCATAGTACAGTACTACATGTTAGTTTACTCAATCATCGTCACTGCTTGTTAAAGGACAAAAAATTGACGAGTTTGCATCTGGGTGCCTGTAGTGTGGTGCTGCAGCAAGCTTTTAAGCAAGACCTATTACAGAAAACTTACCAAGTCTAGGGTGGAAAACAATTCATCTAACCATAAATGAATTTGAAACATGTCTTTCATTGCATGATGGACTAGAGGTTATTAAATGATGGCATGGAAGCATGTCAAATGCTATAATTAGCCTCTATGATATCCACAGAAACAGGCAAAGGGGAAAGGCACTGAGGAAAAACAAGATTTGGAATCTTGTTTTCTTTGGCATCTTCGAACAAAACACACAAGGCGAGAGGTTTTGTGTTTGTTGTTCAAAGTACAGTACATAACAGCAGATAGTATGAAGGGAAGGGGAGGGGGAAGGAAGAGAGATAAAATTATAAATGTATATACAGTACATTCAAAAGGCTAGGGAATAATGGTGTAGTTTTGGACAGTCTCCCATAACACATGGGTCCTGCAAGCTTCAAAGGGTGCATGTGTGCTTGTGTTGTTTTGGAGTTGGCTCCCAGCATTTTGTAGCGAGTTTTATAGTACTGTATATTTTTTGTTTGTTTCTCCTTTTCATGGTTGAAAACTAATATACATAATACTGTGCAGTCTGTATTACGTGAACCAATTACTATCTTCAGATATCTGGATAATCAAAGATTGGAAGATGTAATTCATTTAACGTTTTTATTTTGGTATTTGTTTTATCATACACATGTACTAAAAATATCTGTACAGTAATTGTGTTTTAACAGGAATGCACTAATGCATATATAGGAAACCAATTAAATTATTGTTATTTGGTATAAATAGTGTCATCCACTGCCAAAATTTCACGGATGAATGAAATTACCACCATTAACCAGACATGTTATGGTTAATGACAGAGGAGAATAGGAAATTTGTCTGATACTCAGGAAATTAGGGCACTGGATAATGGGGTTTTTCAATATACTGTATTCATGGAGGGTACAGAAAGGTGTCCAATCTTTACCGGTCACAAATACTGTACACTGTTCCTTTATGATTTATATGGAATCTGTTCTAGAGCTCAATCCAGTAATAAGTTATTTGCAGATGAAGTCTACAAAGGATCTCAGGATATAACACAATTTAAACAATTAGTGACCTAATATCATGATACTATACTGGCATTTGAACATTTCCTACTTGTGGAAACAAATTTTCTATTCAATAAATAGTTTTGAAGACATGTATTCATTTTAATTCTTTTTAATTCTTATCTTAAACATTTATTTGATATTTTTGGAAGATATACAAGTACTGTATGAACTTTTGATACAAATCATGTTGCATAGTTAGTCTAATAGTTTATGCAAATCTCTGACATATTGGGTGCTGGTATTACATGTTTTATGGATCATCCTTTTGAGATTAATCAATGCATTATGAAACAACATTACTGTATATACTTGTATATAAAAAAGGAAGTGTGTGTGTGATTAAGTAAGTACTATAAAACTCTGAAAGATATGAACTTTGGGGACCAAATTAATTTTAGTGTATGGTGAGTACATCACCTGGTCAGCCGATTAAACACCATTGAGTTTGGCCAGTAACTAGTTGGGTGATTTCCCGGACACACTTTCAATCGGCTAGAGGGATCTATCCTGATGATGGGAGATCAAACCAAAAATTTTAAATGCTATTAATTATCAATTTCTATTTCTAGATATTTTTCTTAAATTTAAAACATTTCTAATTCTGGGTTTTCTCCTCTATGCCCAGACTATTGTCGAGTTATATACGAGGAGCGGTTGAGGGCCACAGGGCTAACAACACTGCAAACAAGGCATGATAGTGTTGATCCCATTGAAACTGAACAATTTGGAAGATGTTGCTCCAGACTCTTCAAAAGGTCAGATGTAACATAAATAAGGAGTAACAATTTCAAGCTCAACAAGCCACAATGTAGGACTGAGAACAGGAGATGCTTTTTCACCCACAGGGTTTTAAACCCATGGAACCGCCTACCCTCTGAAGCCGGAAATGCTAAAACTGTTAAATTTGAAAATCCAACTGGAAAAAATCATCAGGTCAAATGGAGAGGGGGAGGGGGGACCTTTGACAAGCTGCTGGCTTTCTGTCCTCATTGAAGCCACTAGTGTGTTAGTGGCCCTCAGGTAAATATTTCTGGGGCAATACAGACCATAATACTACAAGTATAGGAAGTAAGCTAATACACAGTATATGGTTAATGAACATTTAGCATATGATATTCACTTTGATAGCGATGAAGTAATTTCCCAACACGAAATGAAATCTAAATAAACAATTATTTTAATTTACCGGTATATTATTGTCAGGTGCAGGACGTTAGGCTTATTGAGGTCTTTAGCTAGGAGCGAGACTGTCCACCTGTTCACCTATCCAGTTACTGATCAGACCAAATGGTATTTCCTCTTGACAGTGATGCACACATCATCTGCTGTGCCATGCTCAATGTATCTGAACTGATTAATGTTTTAATATCAGATAATTAAAGTCAACTCAAATTTACATTCAATGGAACTTACTGTGTATTATACAATCTAATTTATCTGGTTAATATTTTCAGTATGTCAAAGGATAATGGCAGAAATATTTACATAATAAAATTTAAGTAGCATAAATTTGATAATTAAATTTAGCATTTAATGTAGATAATTGTCTTACATTCCATTACAGTATTTTCCTTTTCCAAGCCACCAGCTTCCTGTCCATGCTGCAATTAATAGCAATGAAGACCAGCAGGTGAATAAGGAACATTTTCCAAGTTGTTCTTCATGACCACCCATCTCTCTGCTTAAGGAAACTGCTCACCTTTTATTACTAGTGTCTGCAGATTGTAACGACTTCAAAACTCAAATACAAAGACCCTTAGACCAGTATGGTCATCTCTGTGTTTAAAAGCTGTGGTTCTATTGACAATTGTTTATCTTGACATGGAAAACTATATTAAACTGTACAATATATACCTGTAATACAAAACACCCTGATGCACATCACATTCTGAGCTTTAATTAGCAATAAAGTAATTTTATAAATATAATATTTATTTCTTTTACTGTACTTGCCAAAGACAAAAAAAAATAGCTTACAGACTTTTAGAATTTTTACTTGAGATTTTACTTGATTCCCTTTTCATACTGAAAGCAGAGTGAAAGAAAATTTATCGATATAAATATTTATAAATGAATTATAAGTATATATAAAGGGAACACTGGTAACACTAACACTTACCTGGGTATCTCCACCATACACTGTATGGATCGGTACTTCATGAGCAGGAACGATCACAATAATACCTTATAGGTATTTCTTCACGTCATAGTTTACATTGCTTTTATTTTCACTCCCATTTACTGTACAAGAATACTATGAACACACTGTATGGGCAATGAAAAGCTATGTATTAATAAATATATTATCTATAACTGCTTGCTACAAGGCTATGAAAAATAAATGAAGTAATGACAAGCTAAATTTTTTCAAGGTAGTTAGCAGGGCAGAAACCCTGTCGGCCACGAAACTTGCACGTCCACCACCCAGATGCATCTGAAATACATCAAATATCGATCATTCTGATGAAGAACAAGCTTTGTACACTATTCCTAAAAAAAATAAAAAAACAGCGTTGAATGTAATGAAACGCCATTTTCTGGGTGAGCCCCGGAGGCTCCCTGGAGCTTATCGGGCTAATGTGTGTTATGTTAGACCGGGACATTAGCTAAGGAGTTCAGACCTACCAGGGACCAGCGCCAGAACCTGGCCCCTTCAGAGAGGTTTCAGGGAGCAATGGCCCTGGAAAACCCCATATGGTTGGGGGTTTTCCTTATCTGCCATCGACCGGGGTTAGGCACCCAGAAAGGTAGGCGTAACAAAACAAACCCCACATGGTAAGAAACTACAACAAAAACCGAACAGAGAGGTAGAAAACTCCCTACAATCCCAAGGAAACAAGCAAACAAGCAAACATCACACTTTACTGCCGCGCCGATCGTCCGCGCAGCCCTCCCCACCCCGGGAGGGGGAGGGGGGAGCCCCGGACCTACCGCGCCGGCTGCCAAGCTCCAGTTCGGAAGCTAAGCCTCAACCAACGCGAAAAACCCGCCGACCGGTGGGAGGGAGGGTTTCCAGGGAGCCTCCGGGGCTCACCCAGAAAATGGCGTTTCATTACATTCAACGCTGGTTTTCTGTGGGGAGCCCCTACGGCTCCCTGGAGCTTCATACCCAAAGAGAAGGAAAAGAAAGGGCTAACCCGGGAGGCGGCCGCCACAAACTCTGCAACGCAAAGCCAAGACAACCGGTCGCAAACCTGCGACCCAAGGCAACAAGAACGCCCAAGAACAGACGCACATATGGATGGGCGGCCAAAAACCTGTGCGACCCACAATTCCCTGCGCCCGAAATGAGCCCGAGACGTCACCAACACAGCAGCAATTGCTGCAAACGTCTGAACAGCACGGGCGCAAAGACAGACCGCAGTAAGAAGGAAAACACTGCGGACGACCCGGGAGACCCGAGCCCTGAAAACAGGGAACGAAGGAACCGGATCAACCACAGCGCATCCCCAGGCACGGTATGCCGGCAACAGCAAAAAGCACAACTGGACAACACAGGACGCACCCCCCGGCCAAACCAAACAAGTACCAATACCCCAAGAACCCCTCCGGAAAGCAGCCGTCTCGACCGTCGCCAGGACAGAGAAAGGCTGCACACCAATAAGGCTACCACCAGTACCAAAGAGGAGGAAACAAACCGAAGGGGCTACCACAAACTGAGGGGCAGAGAAGAAGGCACCCTGAACAAGGACCAGGATGGCTCAGGCGACTCATGAGCAGGCCGGAGGGGAAACAAAACGCGAGAAAACATAAGAAACGTCATACTGTCTCCAAGACGAAGCTCGCAGGTGGGACACCGTCAACAAAGCCACCTGAACACCATAGAGATGGTGATACCTGCGTCAAAATACCAGACGCGAAGTGCCAAAGAGAAGGCCGAACCAGTCACGGACAGGACCGATTCGGCCTGCTGAAAGAGGCGAAGCCTCAGGAAAAACGCCCCGGGAACGGACACCTATCAAGCAGCGTCTGAAAAGAAGGACCGGGCCGGCCACCATGGAACCATAAGGACTGTTCTCGTGGGAATGGGCTGCAACCGAGCCAGAACCCGAAGCAACAGCTGGACCGGGAGAAGAGGGACAGGTACCCCCCACCTCGACCAGGCCTGCCGAAAGCCTCCACCGTGAAGTCCTCGCAGGTGGGAAGGGCGCCACAAAACGGGCGACGCCTAGACCACGCCGACCCGAAGACGTCCATGGCCAGGAGTCCATAAGCCCAACAGAGCCAACAAAACGAATCGGCGACGACTGGCCAACCCACGAAGAGGAATGAACCGAGACAGCTGTCCACCAGGACGCAGGACACACCCTGGACACGAACCACACGGTTAACCAAACCCCCTGCGGTTCCGGCAAGAACCACCAGAGAACAGTCCAAACAGAGCTGAATGGTAGAGTACCTAGTGACCCAAATCCTCCGAAGCGCAAACCAGACAGCCATGAACACCTGAACCGGGCTGTGAGCCCAACGGACAGACAGACTCCATCAACCTCGGCCGACCTGGTGAGCACTGGTCACAAAGCCCCAGCCGAGAGACGACCCGTCCGTGAACACATCGAGCGAAGGCTCGGGGAGGTGCCAAGGCACGGAACCCCGAAAACCCCAAAGAGGAAGCTGGTGACGCAGCACCAACACCAGATCCCCAGAGGAACCCAAGGAATGCAAGAGGCGGAAGGGGAGTCTCCGTAGGAACCAACCGACGCCGGAGCCAAACCCAACTCCGTGGGCAGACAAGCACGCCGAAGTGCAGACTCTCGCACAACCGCCCAAGCAACCGCTGAGCAACCCGGGACCCCCTCCTGAACAGCCAAAGGCGGGACCACAGCCGCAGTAACACTTCTGGAGGGAAGACAATGAGGGGCCCAAGAGCCTGAAACAAGGCCCAGGTCCGAACCCGGGACGGAAACAGAAGGTAAAACCTCCAGATCACCAGGAAACCAAACCCAGCGATCTGGAAAGAACCATCCCCTGGCGAGCAGACAAGCGGACTGACTGGGAGCCCACTCCAGCCAGTCGTCGAGGTAGGCCAGACACCGAATCTCAGACGCAGACAGGGCACTAAGATCCGGTAAAGATGCAAAGAGTATACAAAGTGCCCTGTACAAAATAGGGAAGGCAATAAAAACAGCAAACCTGAAGCCCCACCACCAAAGCATTATATGACAATCATATGAAGACATATTATGACATATGACAATCATTATATGACAATACGACAATTATAATCAAAGCATTATATGACAAAGTGCTGGGAAGACGGGACACCACGAGAGTAGCTCACATCCTGTAACTACACTTAGGTAAGTACACATAGGTAATTACCAACCGTGCTAGCCCCAGAAAAACTGGAGAGGAACGTGCCAAGAAGTGACCTGGAGGTCCAGGTCCACCATCCATGCACCAGGCCCTAACAGAATCCGAACAGGAGACAACAGTCCTCCGAGGAGGGCAGAGGATCCAGGGCGCAGACTGAAGTAGTCCAGAAGAACTGCAGACTGGAAAAGCTCATGACTGCAAAGAGCAGACGGGAAGCCCAGAAGGATGGGGCGGATCGACCACGCCCCACGCACCCACGAAGAGGAAATGACGAAGCGCAGGGGAAGAAGCCCACCCCGCCAGCTCTGAACCCCCCCCAAGGGGGAGAAGCCGTCCTCCGACGCCAGCAGAGGCCGGAAGACAACCCAAAGCGCCCACCAACAGCGGGACCAAGCGAGAGGCAACAGAGCAAGCTGCTCCCCCAGCGCCCAGTCAACAGAGAAGGGAACAGAACCCCTTCAGAAAGAAAAAGTACACTACCGAAGTCATGAGGAGACAACGGGAATGAAACCACACTTCGCTGGAAGATGAAGTGAGGGGAGACCTGATCACCACATTCAAGACACCCAAGGGAATCGACAGGGGTGATAAGGACAGGCAATGTAACACAAGGGACACACGCACTAGGGGACACAGGTGGAAACTGAGTACCCAAAAGAGCCACAGATTTTTTTTTTTTTTTTTTTTTTTTTGGTGTGTGTGTCAGAATGGGAACGGGAAAGCACTAGGAAGTAATGTGGCGACTCCTCACACAAGTAACGAGGCTGACCCCCATACAATGTCACATGTAGACATGACAGAGCCCAAGAGGCACAGGATCCGATACACCTGTTGATGGACGGTTGAGAGGCAGGACCAAGGAGCCAGAGCTCAACCCCCACAAGCACAACTAGGTGAGGACATATATTGTAAAAGCACAAGCCGCCGACTAGTGGCAGAGAGCACTACACCGGCCAGGCAAAAGGCACAAAACTGCATCAAAAGGCCCACCTCGACATCAAAACCACAAAGTCCCAGCACAACCACAACATGTGCCAAGACCCAAAAAGCTCAGTCTGCAAGCCAGGAAGACCCCGGAACCCCAAAAGGCAGAACCGGGTCACACGAGGAAACAAAGTCCCCTGAACCCACAAAAGGGGGCCCAAGAGGAAGAAACCTCCAGAACGAAACCAAGGAACCCAAAGGAACCCAGAATCGAACCAGGGGGAGCCCAAACCACCACATTTGCCGGCGGAGAACACCACTAAAAGGCAAAGCACAGACCCCAGCAGAACGCCCTGGGAAAATGGTCCCAACAGACCGAAAACCGAGGGGCAAGGTGTGGGAGCAAGCATAGCAGCCAGGGGCACTGAGCCTAAACCCATAGGCTCAGACCCAAAATCAACACCCAAACGTTCCCAGAGGAACAGGCAACGGCAAGAAAACACCAGAAAAACAAAGAAACGACAACAGGAGAACAAAAACCCTGAAAAATTTTTGAAAACTCACCAGAGACGCTCGCTCGCACACCCAGACGCATGTAAACAAACCGCAACGCCGCCCTGGCCACGGCCACGGTCACGGCCACGCCGTGAAACCGGCAGACGAAAATGGCCGCCAGCAGGGGCTGTGACTGACGCTAAATACACAAAAACACGCCAGCAAATGTGGGAAGCTAGCAGACTGGAAGGGCGAAAAACGCCGCCCAACAGCAGAAAAACCCCTGAAGGGGCAAAACCGCCCCAGAACTGCTAGCAGGCAACCCCCACAGCCCCGGGAACCAACAACAGAGGCCCCGGGGCAGAGCCGTCCTCCAAGCCCTCCGCCCTGAAAGAAAAGCAAGAGCCCATGGGAAAGGCAACAAGAAAGGGCCGCTGGTAAGACCCAGAAGCCTTGGCAGGAGGCACAGGCTCAAACCTCCGTCCCCAACCCGAACGGGGCATCCCCCGAAAACCGCCCGAGTCTCTGCCGCAACTGAACCCCGCCCCGACCCAGAAACACGCAGACGGTCCGGAGCCGGGAACATGGAGAGAAAGGGGCGAGCAGCACCTAACCAAACGGGGCGGCCACGGGGCATTCGAGTGGGAAACCAACCTAGCATGTTGCAGCAACCTAACCTAGCTTGCAACACGGATGCCGCCTGTACTCTGAACAGTAATAACATCAGGAGAGTACTGGAGAACAAGCAGAGAATCACTCGCAAGACTCCGGGTCAAGGTGTCAGTGACCCAACAGGCAGCATGACGGAGGTAAAAATGGCGACTGTCACCCGGAGACAAGGGAACAGCAACCAACGATCCCGTACAAGACGGGTTGGAACCCGGAAGACACATTCAATGGTCCCCCGAGCCCAGACAGGGGTTTCCAGGGCCCGTAGGGTAACAACTACGGGAAGCCCGGGCAAGGTGTTGCTAACCGGTTAAGAAACCCAAACATAACAAGAGGGTAGATTATAGCACTGAAAACCCCTGAGACGTGTACAAGCACGGGGGCCTAGCAGAGGGCCGCCAAACACTACCAGTGGAACTATAACCACCTTAGGCAGACCCCCACCAGGCAAGAAAATGAAAAACAAAAGAAAAACCCCGCAAAAGTACACCGTCCCCAGAGGCAACAGAAACCGGCCGCCGCTTAGGTGGCAGGCTGCGCAACACCTTGACGCCCTAACCAGCACAATACCAATCCCTACCCAGGGCCAAACAAGGGCCCCAAGCCCCAGCTGGCCCCAAGGGCGAGGCAAATGCCGAGCAGCAAGAACCTCTACGGGAATGGTTCCCGAACGCCCCAGGGAAGATAACCCTGTAACGCAAGGGCAGTACTCACAGGGCGCTTAGGGAAGTCAGCCACTAAGCACATGCAGCCCCGGCACTGATGAAGTACTCCTGGCCACCGCACACCACAACACACGGCAGTGAACGCCACACAAGGCAAACACCGCCTAGGAAACTGAGGCCAGAGAAGCGTCAATCCCGGTTGACATTAGCGAACGAACTGGAGCTTGGCAGCCGGCGCGGTAGGTCCGGGGCTCCCCCCTCCCCCTCCCGGGGTGGGGAGGGCTGCGCGGACGATCGGCGCGGCAGTAAAGTGTGATGTTTGCTTGTTTGCTTGTTTCCTTGGGATTGTAGGGAGTTTTCTACCTCTCTGTTCGGTTTTTGTTGTAGTTTCTTACCATGTGGGGTTTGTTTTGTTACGCCTACCTTTCTGGGTGCCTAACCCCGGTCGATGGCAGATAAGGAAAACCCCCAACCATATGGGGTTTTCCAGGGCCATTGCTCCCTGAAACCTCTCTGAAGGGGCCAGGTTCTGGCGCTGGTCCCTGGTAGGTCTGAACTCCTTAGCTAATGTCCCGGTCTAACATAACACACATTAGCCCGATAAGCTCCAGGGAGCCGTAGGGGCTCCCCACAGAAAACCAGCATTGAATGTAATGAAACACCATTTTTTGGGCGAGACCCGGAGGCTCCCCGGAGTTATATCAGGCTGATGTACATATATTAGACCATGGAAACTGTCAATCAATGGAGTTCTAGGCCTACCGGGGACCAGAGCCAGAACCTGGCCCCTTCAAGAGAGGCATGAGGAGCGATGGCTTATAGACAACCCCGTGTAATTAGAAGCAGTCTATGTCTACCATCTACCAGGTCAGGCACCCAGAAAGGTAGGAATTCCGAAACAAACTACAGCTGGTCAAAACAAACAAGCTGTTTGTTTTGATCCTGTGGTCCCGGGTTCGATCCCGGGCGTCAGCGAGAAACAATGGGCAGAGTTTCTTTCACCCTATGCCCCTGTTACCTGGCAGTAAAATAGGTACCTGGGTGTTAGTCAGCTGTCACGGGTTGCTTCCTGGGGGTGGAGGCCTGGTCGAGGACCGAGCAGCGGGGACACTAAAGCCCCGAAATCATCTCAAGATAACCTCAAGATGGTGCACATAGTATGGTGCACAAAAACCACTATCTAAACAGGAGGATGGGTTGCAATTCATAATAATAATTCATTGTGTCGGGGGACAGGCAGCTAATGTGTATTTATACACATTAAGCTTACCTTGCGATGACCTTGTGATGATTTCAGGGCTTAGCATCCCCATGGCCCGGTTCTCAACCAGGCTTATAGCAAGATCCACCACCAAGGTCGAATTACTAACCCCCCTCCCCCAGGATGCAACCCCACAACCAGCTGACTAACTCCTGGGTACCTACTTACTGCTAGGTGAACAGTGCATTAGGTGATAGGAAATGTGCCCAACCATTTCTGTCCTACCTGATAGGGAAAATTGATAGGAAAAATTTCCTGAGACCTGGAACTTCAAGAACAAGAGGTCATTGATTTAAACTAACTAAACAAAGATGCCAAAGAAATATAAGAAAATTCACTTTTGCAAACAGAGTTGTAGACGGTTGGGACAAGTTAGGTGAGAAGGTGGTGGAGGCCAAAACCATCAGTAGTTTCAAAGCATTATATGACAAAGAGTGCTGGGAAGACGGGACACCACGAGAGTAGCTCTCATCCTGCAACTACACTTAGGTAATTACACACACACACACACGTTGTGTGGTGTGTGCTTGTGAGGTGCCCACCTCACTGTGTGAGGTTATTGACCGCCATTATATCAGAATGGTTGGAATATTGACGTTAATTGGGTGAGTATTCCTTATTAGTGTATTGTCCTATTTCCTGTGTTTAAATAAATGTAACGCATGCATTTTTATTGTCTGTCGAGTCCTGCCAATTAAAAAATATGGTACCGGCTCAATGTGGTTACTTGTGTGCTTGAAGTGCTTATAAATACCTATTGGTTCTACATTCCTGTTTTAAAGTAATACAGTACATCTATACTACAGTATAAGTAAGAAAGAACAGGTTTTGTTAGCCTGTACTCTAGGATACGGCTTTCAAGTTTGTTCCCTTACAGTATTGTATGTACAGGGAAATATTCAGTCAGCTAATAATATGAAAAACCCAATTAATAGTGCAAAATATCTGGTCTCTGTATTTGTATAAATGTAAGAGCAAAGAGCCTACCTTCTTGTACCAGCTGGAGCACATCATTTTCTACAAAGGTCAGCTCATCTACATCACTTGCATCATAACTGTAATGCAAAATTTAAGGTTATAAAAGTGAAAAAATATTTCTTGGCTAAACTCACTCATTAACCTGAATTTCTACTACATTGTGAGAATTTTTAAAGAGTATTTAAATTGTACAAAATAGAATATTACACTAGCTAAAATGAGAAAGGGTTAGTAGAGGACTTTGTATAATACTGCTGTATTCTTGGTAATACTGTACTGTGTTTAAACTGTTTTAATTTTAAAAACACAGTACTACCAAAGTTCCAGCACAGCAAAAACAGCAGAGTTTCTGTAAAATAATACACAAAATAATCATATGGATGAAGCAGGAATTCCTACTTTATTTCCACAGGTTGTACTGTATTTGCTAAATCTGCATCTGCTGTTGTTCAAACAAGTCTACAATATAGTGATATGTACAGACTGGCATCACTATTATAACTGGTACCTTATTTTCTTTGTTGAAATTCATTAAGAGGAATGTATCTACAGATTGCAGACAAAATTAAACTTACTTGTATATGGCCCGAACTTGAGGCACTTTTGGTTTTGGTTTTTCTACTGGTGGCCTTGTTGAAATGGCTGCAGGTGGTCGATTTGTACCTAAACGACTAGAATGTAGCTTATTTCCAGATCCAATTGTGGGTTGATTAGCAGGTGGAGGATCTGAAGGTGGTGGAGGTGGCTGCATCGGGGGAATTGGGGCAGTTGATACAGGTAATCTAAAGGGAGGGTTTCCGGTCAATGGCGGTCGAATAATAAGAGGGCCAGAGGGACTGTGACCACTGCCTCTACCCAGACGTGGTGGAGATTCCTGCAAGCCTGGGGGTACAGGAGCTGGTCCCTGAGGCCTAGGTGGCACTCCAGCACTATGGATATGCTTAGCACTTTTGTGGATAGGTCCTGTAGGTCTGTGGACAGGTTCCTCTGGTCTGTGGATAAGTCCTCCTGGTCTGTGAACCGGTCCTGTTGGTCTGTGGACTTGTGGTGCATTTTGATGGGGATATCTATTGTTGTTTGGAATGTTAGCAGAAACTCTCAGATTGTTGGTGAAACTTCGCAAGTCTGGGGGTATCTCTCGTTGCAAACCAGGCCCTGAAATTTTTTTTATGATAAAATATGTTTGTAAAATACACGTAATCATAGTTTTATATTTTAAATACTGTACTTTATATAAAAAAATAGAAGAAAACAAATTTTGTAAACTAATTAATCTTTACAACATTTAAATGTAAGAACATAATAATTTCTTTGTACCCAGAATTGTAGTTCAAGAAGCCATTTATTGCAGTTCCAAATTAACATTACAGTAATATAATAGAGAAAATTTGTACGAGAAATAACAGCTTTTTGGGAAAGTGCTGAAGCACTTTCTAAAGTCTTAAACTTAAGAAAATTATATTGATTTGTTTCCTAGACAATGTATAAATCTTACAAAAAGAGTGGCATACTGTAGTAGAAAGCTACAAAGTAGTAGTAGTGGTAGTAGTATCTGCTTGATACCTGCTTGATGGGGTGGTAGTAGGTAGTAATGGTAGTAGTAGGTAGGTAGGTAGATAGTAGCAGTAGTAGGAAGTAGCAGATAGTAGGAAGTAGAAGTTGGTAGGGTAGGTAGTAGTAGATTGGTAGAAGTAGATAGGTAGTAGTAGATAGGTAGTAGTAGATAGGTAGTAGTAGTAGATAGGTAGTTAGTAGCAAGTAGGTAGTTAGTAGTTGTAGGTCTGGGTTTCATTTGGCCTGACCTTGGTGATGGTTTCACGGCTGGATGGCAAATGTTACAGTTTTGATTATTTTAGTTATTTATATTTATATTATACAGTATATATTATATATTTATATTATATATATATATATATTATACAAGGTACAGTACATTGGATTTCTGAGAGTACATAACATTGGTGTTTTTACATTCTTGCAAATCTGTTAACATGCATAGCATTTCAGGCAGATCCTAAATCTAACAGATAATTATTAACAGGTAAATTAATAGGTTGTGTTCAATGCATCTCCCCTCTCCCCACTCCATTTAATTATGATGATTCCTCAAGTCCAGTTCATTACATTCCTCATGAATGATGATGATCAGGCACTGCAAATCTTCTCAGGTTTCACCACTCAGTAGATAAAACTCAGAGGGACTTGAAATCTGTTCCTCGTGAGCTACAGTCTGGGCATCTGAACCAAATGTTTCACAGTGTAACGGTTCTATTGTTACGTAAAGTATGGTGACAAATAAACACAGACACTAAGATACTATATATATATTTGGTCGAATATACAGAAGTACACAGGTGATACTTTGGTGTGAGTTGAGCGCACTGAGCGTCGGTACAGTATCTCGCAAGTGTCTGCTCTAGACCACACTTGAAAGTAGACTAGTTAATGTTTGCTATTCTTGCCGCTTATATTGCTCGGGCAACACCTTACCGTGCTGCCCGGGCAACGCCTCACCTCATTCATCTCCAAAGGTTGACAGGAATATTAACACTATATTTGGAGCGAGTATATTATTGGGATAATCTACTCGCTACAACAGCCTTCGTAGGATTTACCATTTAATCCTTGGCTTCAGTGCAAGGTTGCAACTTTTTCTTGGCTGGCAGGCACTCCCTTATTTTGTTTGGGGGGAAGAGGCTGTTGTTTTGTTGGCCAAATACCCTTAGTAGAAAGAATATATCTCATCTTTCATGTGGATTTGGTGGGTGAATATTTTTCCCAGTGCCTTTAAATGATTTTAATATTTAAAGCACAGAATTAGAAATGTCTATGGAAGAGTGGGTGTGTGACAAACCCCACTGGTGGGAAAAAACATTTTTTTCCCTTATATAGGATGGAAGCTATTCTCCATCTCAAGGATGGGAAGTCAACTGTTCCTTCAAGAATGGGGAGCTACCAAAAATAAAAAGATCATCAATTATATAAAGAGAAGGTACATGTCAAATATTTTCACATCAGGAGTACTGATGTAATTATAGTACAGTACAGTGGAACCTCGGTTGCTGAATGCCCCTCTATATGAATTTTTTGGTGTATGAGCTCAATTTCTTTGTAAAATTTGACTCAGTATTTGAGGTATGTCTCACGTCTCGAGTTTGTTGATAAACGTATGGATCGACCGAGTGCGTAGTTCTGGTGGCGCCGGCTGCACCTCAGTTTATCAGTGTGTCTCGCCTAGTGATGACGGTGCTTGAATTCTTTGTGAAGAATTTCAGTGTTTTTGTGCTTTTTTGGTTTCTGAGCATAAAAGTAATTATATGTCATGCCATGGGTCCCAAGAAAGTCAGTGGTTAAAATCAACCTAAAAAAATAATTGAGAGTAGTGGCAGTAGAGGATGTCCCTTCCTCGTTAAGAAAATGTGTGGAGTATGGGAAGAACTGCAAAGTTTTGTTGAAAAACCTCACCAATATAAAACTGTAGCAGGCCATAACTAACCTTTTTAATGACACTGTGATGCCTCACCACAGACAAGTGTTATAATGTAGGAAAAACAGGTGTCTAAAGACAGGATTTTAGTGAGACAAACAAGCAGTGAGCCACAAGCAGGTGTTAGTGGTATGCCTGCAAAACATAGGAGAGAGTGTATCCCAGAAATGACATCACTGCCCGATCTTGTAATGGAAGGGGACGCCCCTTCCAAACACTAACACCTCTCCTCCTCCCCTCCTTACCATCTTCCATACGCCAACAAGAATCCTCAATAAAGGTAAGATATATGTACATAATGTAGTACAAAATATGAGTAGTATTATGTATAAAATGTATTTTTAAGTTAATATGTTAGGGTGTGTGGAACGGATTAGTTCAATTTACATTATTTCTTATGAGAAAATTTGTTTCAACTTTTTAATTTTCGGTTGACGAACCATCTCTGGGAACGAATTAAATTTGTAAATGAAGGTACCACTATATTATGTTTTTGTTAATGTTCAATTCGTCTAAGCATCCAAGCCTTCATGAAAATTACAACAGCCTCACACATACATAGCCACTCTGATAGAACAGATTAACAGTTACTTCATCCCAAAGTTCACAAGTAACTCTTATTTAGTAACTCGTATACAACTACAGTACTTAAAATTTACGAGGATCCTGTGATCTTGTATGTACTAAAAGAATTCTGGGCCACTTATGGCACGTAATAACTACAGCTAAATAAATAATACAGAAAATATGACTAAAATATATGAATAAAGTACAGTATAATACAAACACAAATACAAAATTCACTGTACAGTACACGTTTCTACCATAAATAATCATTTATAATAATGTGAAAAATAGGTAAAAAAACTACACAAATTTACTAAATGAACTTAAAATAAAACAGTACCTGCATATATCACACCATCCTATGAACAGCAAAAAAAGGAAACGAGGATAAGTCTTCAATGACCTAAAATATTAATCAAAACTTGGGAAAAATGGAGCTTTGAATGAAATAAAACGCTCTTTTCCGAGACGGTCCCTCGGGTACTCCCTGGTACCAATGGCCTGTATTTTTGGGTGTGTGGACCCTCACACTTTTGGGTGTATTTTGGGTGTGTGGACCCCCACACTTTTGGGTGTGGACCCCCCACACTTTTGGGTGTATGGACAAGGTGTGGGGGCCTGTATTTTGGACGTGTGGACAAGGTGTGCGGGCCTGTATTTTGGGTGTATTTTGGGTGTGTGTGGACAAGGTGTGTGCGGGCCTGTATTTTGGGTGTGTGTGGACAAGGTGGGAGGGGCCTGTATTTTGGGTGTGTGGACCCCCCCCCCCAACACATTCTACCTGCCACAATATCCAGCATTTCCAGGGACCTAGGAAATTATGGAATATCTTAAATGAGTTGGACTAGCAGTTAATTCATGCTTCATCATTATTAATCTGAGATGGATTTAGCTCTTCAGTACCATCCTAGCACCTTTTATGTCCCTGTCGAGCACGCTTGAAAAAATCTTGGCAGTGCCGGAACCTGATCATCATCTTGCCTGACTACAGGTATTGGCAAATTCTATCCTTACCTATGTTTTTTGTTTTACTTCATTTATCATGTACCCCTGTATCATATAGGCATGCTGTGACACTATTTACACATTATTACACAAGACATTGCAAATAAAACAGGTTCTTTAGCATAAGAAATTACAAATACCTGTACTGTGTTTGTTATTACTGTATTATTAATAAAAAATTAACATTGAACAATGTACAGTACATTTGAGTATGAGAACAATCTTTTAATAGCAGAGGAAGCACTTCAAAACCAGACTGCTATATACAGCTCCCCATGTGGTAAAATTTATCAGTATTTATCTTTGAGCCCCTATCATTAGTGACCTCATCGGGGTATCCTGTAGTAAGTTGGCAGCTTATCAAATGTTACCCCAATATTTCTGAGGATTTTTCCAGCTGTTAACTGAACTGGAGTACTGTCTTGGCTTCTACTTAATTCTTTGGTGGATAAGTAATTCCAAGAGTCTATTATCCTAATAAAAAGTATTTCCTTTTTTGTGTTCTACACTGTGGCTCGCCGAGCTTGAAGCTGTTGCACCTTGTGTGTATTATAATGGATCTTTTAAAGAAGTGGTCTGGATTAATGTAGTATTTCAATTTATTCAGTATTGTAAGTGTCTAGGATCAGCCCTGTCTTATCTGCTTCACGGCATTATTAGTCCTGAGGGTCTTAACCTTTCCAGGTATGAGAGTCGATTTAGTTCTGGGATGATTTTTGTCACTCTGCTATTCAAGTTTTTCAAAGCAGTTATGTTACTTTGATCATAACTTATTAACTAAATGACTACTTTCTTTTCCTTGAAGTCAAAGATTCATCTGATTATTCCTAAGGTTTGGCTAGCTTCTACTTGCAAAGCATGTACTGTACACCATAACTCCAAGGACATTTTCTTTTTTCAATTTGTGCAAGAATGTGGTTGTCATTGAAAATTTACATAAATATAGCATAATATTAACAGCCCTTCAGTCTAAAGGGCAAGCACATTTAGGGAAGCCTTGAGTTTAGTGATTTCTTGGAGAGTGGAGCCATAGCTGGTGAAAGCATGTGAACCGTTTTGTGTGTTATCATATAATAAATAAAGTTTATCATACGAAATTTAAAAATGATCACAGACACCGCTAAGAAGGATATACTGTACAGTGTACTGGGATAAAAATATAATAGATATACAAACAGAGAGGTTAGGCACATCAGTACCCAAAGCCAGAAGGATGTAACCCATTCAGAATTTCTAATACAGTACGTTAATAACATGCAAATGTAATCTCATAGTTTGCAAAATAAATTTGAATTGATATAACTGTTAAAAGGTTAGCATTATGTACTGTACTCTACACAGAAGTAAGAAAAATCTTGATTTTTAATAATAAAAATAAAGTTAATGTATGCAAAACTCACTTGAAGTACTAGGCAACCCATGAGCAACTTTAACTGTCAATGTTGACCCGGAGGGGACGAGTTGCGCCTTATCCGTAGCACCGTCGGTGAACACTACCTTCCGTACACCACCACCACCCCATCCTGTCTTTCTTACTCTGTAGTCAAAGCTGAAAATTTAAGTTATTCAGTCATCTGCTACTTCTTACATTCATGTTCTTTAACTTTAACCAGTGAATAATATAGTTTAGTATTGTTTTCAATTACTTACGTTTTACTTATATGAGAAGCTGAACTTTTTATGAGAGAGAAAAGGGGTTGAATGTAATGTAACATTCTTTTTTCTGCAGTCTTAGTAGCTCTCCAGCACATTGTCTCTGGTACCACAGATACATCCACACAACTACAAGGCCTCTGGACTTGCACAGACCTACAGAACATTTGGCCTAGAATCTGAAGTGTTCATATATTTATTTATTTATTTATTTATTTTTGTATATACAAGAAGGTACATTGGGTTTATGAAAGTACATTGCACTGATGTTTTTACATTCTTGCAAAGCCACTAACACACATAAGTGTTTCGGACAGGTCCTTAATCTAACAGATAATTTTAAGTGGGTAATTTGTAGCAAAATTTGAAGAATATTAACAGGTACATTGTAGTATAATTTGATGATTATTAATATGTACATTGTACTGTATTAAAATTTGTGTTCAACATAACAACCATGATATAAGTTGATAGTAGTGATTACAATGGTGAAGTTGCATGGCTTAGGCACATATATCCGGGGAGTGGGTAGCACAAGATACAGTGCGAGTTTTGAAGCACTACGTAGGAAACTATGAGGATAAAACTAGGTACTTTTTGGTTTTACTTTGGAATAAGCCATGAGTTGGACAGTTCTTAATTCGTTACGGAATAAGTTCCATAAACTAGTTCCCATTATTTGCTTAGAGAAGAGGAAAGCATGGACTTCTGAGACAATCAAAACCAAGTCAAAGTACATGCAAAGTAAAAAAACCAGCGTTGAATGTAATGAAACGCCATTTTCTGGGTGAGTCCCGGAGGCTCCCCGGAGCTATCCCAGGCTGATATGCTAATGTCAGACTTTGGCATCAGTCATGTGTATGGAGTTCTTAGGCCTACCGGGGACCACGGCCAGAACCGGGCCCCCTCAGAGAGGCAAGGGGAGCAATGGCCTATAGAAGCCCCCGTGTAGTTGGAAGCATTCTATGTCTGCCATCGACCGGAACAGGCACCCAGAAAGGTAAGCGCCCCAAAACAAACCCCTATTCTGGTTAAAATTGCTACCTAAAACCGAACTAGTGGATAGAACTCCCCAACCGAAAACAAGCAAACTAGTGTGACGTCACACACTGCCGCGCCGCTGTCTGCGCAGCTCCCCCCTCCCCGGGAGGGGGAAGGGGGAGCCCCAGACCCCCCGCGCCGGCTACCCACACCTCAGTTCTTGAGGCTGGATGTCAAAAACGCGAAAAACCGCCGACCGGAGGGAGGGAGGGATGCCGGGGAGCCTCCGGGACTCACCCAGAAAATGGTGTTACATTACATTCAACGCTGGTTTTCTGGGGGGAGCCCCGTCGGCTCCCCGGAGCTAACTACCCACAGACAGAAAAAGAGGGACTTACCCGGGAGGCGGTCGTCGCTCACCCCTCAACTCGAAGCCGAGACAACTGGCTGCAACCGCCGACCCAAAGCAACACAGGCCCGACGAGGCCCAGGGACATTCACAAGGTAACGAGCAGCCAGGACCCTGTTCGACCGCCAAAATCCCCGTGCCCGAATATCAGACCAAGACATATTCCCAAAGACGGCAGCAAGAGCCGCGAACTTACGAACGTCATGGGCACGGGGATAGACCGCAGGCTGGCTGGACCTAATAACCCTGCGGACGACCTGAGACCCGAACCCGCGAACAGGGAAGAAGGGAAACCGGATCAACCCACAGCGCGTCCCCGGGCACAGAAGCTGTGGCGCGCAAATAACGGCGAAGCGCCGCACGATACGAAGCGACAGTGTTAGGCATAAGATGACGGTCCTGAAACAACCACGAGAGGAAGGACAAGACCACCCGAACAGACAAGGAGCTAACACGACGAAGACGCAAAAAGAAACGGAAGGACCGCCAGGAAACTTCATACTGCCGCCGAGAAGAAGCCCTCAGGTGGGACACCAACAAGGAGGCCACCTGATCACCATAGAGATGATGATAGACTCGAGTCAAAAAAAACCATACGCGAAGACTCGAGGAGAAGATCGAACCAGCTACGTGACGTACCGGCCCGATCTGCTGAAAGAGGCGGAGCCGCGGGAAAACCCTCGGGTTCGGACACCGAGCAACCAGCGCCTGAAACGAAGGCTGCGCCGGCCACCAAGGGGCCAGAAGGACAACTCTTCCCCGGTAAGTCTCTTAGCGAGTCAGGACCTGGAGCAACAGCCGAACCGGGGGAAAGAGGTACAGGAACCCCCACCTCGACCAGTCTAGCCGAAAGGCATCGACCCCGACGGCCTCGCAATCGGGGAAGGGCGCCGCATAAACGGGAAGACGCCGCGACCACGCCGACGCGAAGAGGTCCACTTCAGGGCGCCCGAACGTCTGGCAAAGCCAACAGAAGGACTCGTCGTCGACCGTCCACTCCGTGGAGAGGGGAACGAAGCGAGACAGGGCGTCGGCCAAGACGTTGGACACGCCCCGTACGTGAACCGCCAGGAGAGCCAAACCCCGAGAACTCAGCAGACGAGTCACCCGAAGCGACCAACCCCAAAGAGACAAGGACCGCATCGAACCCCCGCGGTTCAGGCAATGAACCACCGGAGAGCAGTCCGAATGGAGCCGAATCGTCGATCCGCGGGCCACCCGAATCCTCCCCAGAGCAAACCACACCGCCGCGAACTTCTAAAGCTGAACCCCAGGGACGTGTACACTCACGGGGACCTAGCAGGGGGCGCCACCGAGGAGAACAGTGGAAGGGCAAAAACAAACTGAATAAAAGGACAGAACCCCCCACCAGGCAAAAACAAAAAGAAAACAAAACCCCGCAAGAGGACAGCGAACCCCAAGGAACAGAGCCGGCCGCGATGTCGGGAAATACAAGCTGAGCAGCACCCTGCGCCCCTACCAGTGCAAACTGCCTCTTACCTGCCGGTAACAAGGGAGAACAGAACACCCAAGAGCCCAACAGGCGGCCGAAAAACCGAAAGGTAAAACGGACCAGCAGAGGCAGACCCCGAGGAGCCTGTGGAAGGTGGCCCCAAGCCCCAAGGGCAGTACTTACAGGGCACCTAGGGAAGGCAGCCCTAGGCGCATGCAGCCCGAGTACTGAAGATAACTCCTGGCTCTCGCACCCACAAAACTAACACCACACGCAAAGCACAGTGCAGTAGCGACACCGGAGCCAGAGCACACGACCATCGCCTATAGCATCAGCCTCAAGAACTGAGGTGTGGGTAGCCGGCGCGGGGGGTCTGGGGCTCCCCCTTCCCCCTCCCGGGGAGGGGGGAGCTGCGCAGACAGCGACGCGGCAGTGTGTGACGTCACACTAGTTTGCTTGTTTTCGGTTGGGGAGTTCTATCCACTAGTTCGGTTTTAGGTAGCAATTTTAACCAGAATAGGGGTTTGTTTTGGGGCGCTTACCTTTCTGGGTGCCTGTTCCGGTCGATGGCAGACATAGAATGCTTCCAACTACACGGGGGCTTCTATAGGCCATTGCTCCCCTTGCCTCTCTGAGGGGGCCCGGTTCTGGCCGTGGTCCCCGGTAGGCCTAAGAACTCCATACACATGACTGATGCCAAAGTCTGACATTAGCATATCAGCCTGGGATAGCTCCGGGGAGCCGACGGGGCTCCCCCCAGAAAAACTATGAATCTTGATTTATAAGTTCTTAACATATGATATTGCAATCTGCATTTTAACTAGGTACATACACAAATGAAGGGTAAAGTAAGTTTTAGGCCTAGGTTGACTACTAAAAGCTTAAGACAAATGCAATGTGTTCAAAGAGAACACATTGTGAACACACATTGAGAATGTGTGTGAAACATAACTGCATATGAAGGATATCTCACCTGTTGATAAAATTCAAAGGCAGTTCTCTGTTACACCGCTCTTTAAGTTTGCGGTTGAGCACCATTAAAAATTCTGTCTTAAATTTAATTTCTAGCAGGGATTCATAGTCATTGCGAATATGAAGCAGTACCAGATCATCTTGATATGTTGATAACGTTGCCTGAAATGCAAATGAAATATCAGTGAAGTATACTATATTAATAATAATAAAGCTGTAATTAATTTTAAAGACATTTATAATATTCAGTAACACTGCATTTTTTAAATTTTAAACATACCGTTTTTTAAACAAGATCTGGTAATTGTATTCTAGCTTTACACATGAACTATATGCCTTAAAATGTAGAATTTAGTGAAGTGAAACAACTTTCAAAATTGGTCCCTTTCTTGCTCCCTTGAGCCATCACCAAATGAAGAAAGAAAGAAAGAGTAGACACAAAAGAAACAGGGTTATGGATTGGACTGATGAATTGCAGATCAAGTAAGCAGACTAACAAACAGGAATCATGTACAGGAGAACCAGCCAAAGGCAATACCTGTACACTACACAAATTTCAGGGTGAAGATATAGTTAGACCTCCGTAACTTGTAAGCTTAAAATTCCAAGCAGTAAATGGCAGAAAGAAAAGGCAGCTATTATAGTACTGTATATCTCCTTAAAGTCATGGGTGCTGGTGTAAGCACAGGGCTGACTGAGCTTCACCATCCTATGAAGGAGCTGGGACAGAGAAACCTTGATACAAGAAACCAATGTCTAAGGATTCAGAAACCAGCACAGAAGACCTTTAAGACAGATGCACAAATATCTGTGCAAAGTCACAAGATCAAAGAAGACCAGAAACTCCAAGCTGAACAAGCCAAGGCCAAGCATGCACACAAAATGGGATCGTGGCACAAGACAAGGAACTCATTCTTAGCAAGAAACAAAATAGGAAGACATACAAACTGATCACTGCGATGAAAGGACAAAACTCTGGTAGTTAATGCAAGGAATGGAGCATGCTGATACTATTTACCAATGGCAAAATGTCAAACATGGAAGACAGCCTTAAAATGGACACAGTATTCCAAAGTGTGTGAAACACAAACTGAATTGGAAACAAAAAAATATAAAAATATGTGATAATACCTGGATGGATCCAGTAGAGCATCTTAGGGCTAGAGGTGGGAAATACATGACTGGAGGAATCAAACAGAAGACAGGTCCAAACCAAATTCCAGCAATAGTGGCTCAAACAACACTGAGTTTTAAGAGGCAATTGTGTAATGCGGTTGAGCTCCCTCCAACTGAGGGAGCGGGGTCAGCCGAGCAGACAGCACGCTGGACTTGTGATCCGGTGGTCCCGGGTTTGATCCCGGGCGCCGGGGAGAAACAATGGGCAGAGTTTCTTTCATTCTATGCCCCTGTTACCTAGCAGTAAAATAGGTACTTGGGTGTTAGTCAGCTGTCATGGGCTGCTTCCTGGGGGTGGAGGCCTGGTCGAGGACAGGCCGCAGGGACACTAAAAGCCCCAAAATCATCTCAAGATAACCTCAAGATAGGCACAAAATGAGATGACCCTTTATAAATAACAAAGACAAAACTGGGAAAAGTCTGGGCATAACCTGCAGAAATAGAGCTACGTTTAAAAAAAATAAAATAAAAACCAGTCGATTGACTGACAGTTGAGAGGTAGGCCCAAAGGGCCAGAGCTCAACCCCGGCAATCACAATTAGGCGAGTACACACACACACACACACACTACGTACAAAATAGTAACAGGAATCGACAAAATTGATAGGAAAGAATTCCCGAGACCTGGTACTTCCAGAACAAGGTCATAGATTTAAACTAACTCAATAAAGCTGCCGAAGAAATACAAGAACATTTATATTTCACTCTTTCGCAAATAGTGGTAAACGGTTGGAACAAGTTAAGTGAGAAGGTGGTGGAGGCCAAATCTGTCAGTAGTTTCAAAGCATTATACAGCAGAGTGCTGGGAAGATGGGATACCGCAAGCACAGCTTTCATCCTGTAACTACACTCAAGTAATTACTTAGGTAATTACACAAACAAAATCTGAATGAAAACTAGAGAAGCATTGTATGCCTATTCTTAAGAAGCAGCAGGGTGCTGCTGTCAAGAAGTTCTTGGGTGTCTTGGAGCTGGCTTTTCATGATACTATATAGTGAGATAGAGAATGTAAAGTAGTCATTTAATATCTTCAACCTTTTTCAACTATACAGAACTGTACTACTACTGAATTTTCTCCAGGGCTGATGTCTCCTCTACAACTTGTAAGTTGGATAACAATGAAAGTGTCATCAGTATATTATAATGAAGAATTAATACTAAATATATTGAAAAGGATGAAATAAATCAGCCTTTTAGGCTGAAATAAATCATTATCTGAAAACTCTTCCAAACTATAGTGAGAAACCACTAAAAAAAAATTCAACACTACCAACAGTATTACAGTACCTGGATAACATTTTCCAGGTCAATCTTCCTCTTGATAACATCCAGAATTGCTCCTTTTTCAGGACCTTTCTTAACTTGCATCCGCCCAATTAGATACAGATTTGATTTTGTTACAATCAGGTCACGTTTGGTTTGTCTGAACCTGCGATCAAATTTATCCACAGTCAATGCAAATTCAACCTGTAAAAAATACCAATTAGATAAATATAAACTTACCAAATCTTATTACAATTATTATAATTAAGACAGTATACCTTTGTGACTATTTTGGAGATTAGGCCTTTCTCTTTTACCCATAGTTAAGCTTACTTATAGATAAATGCTTGTTCTTTGTTAAAGTTATGGACTATCGGGTCATTTGGTTGCACTCTGGGTAATAGATGCCAGTATGCATTGCAAAGGTTGGAGGTTTTATATTTGTACTTTGGCGTCGTGATGACGCTCTCAGCGTCGTCAAAACAATACACGCAGTTTGGGGGATGACTCTTGGAGTCGTACATTAATTTTTGCTTATTCTTATTATTAAGTATAAACATTGTGAGTGAATGAGTTTAACATTGGGTTGTGTGCTCACCGGCAATGGCCGGCCTACCTTGCATTATGATGCGGGTGGCTCGCCGGGCACGCGAAAGTGCTAAGAAACATGATGCAGTACTTTTATTGCATTGATGATGTACATCCTAAGGAATTAATGTTTCCAGTTTACACTTCTCACCATTTAAATTAAAATCATTTACTCGTTTCATTATATAGTTTAGTAATTGAGTATCGATGATGAGAATATTATGGAAATGATTATTAACTCTAATCAGTAATTAAATTATGCCCAAGTTTAGTGGGGGCTTAATTTAAGCTGTAGTCTAAGAGTTGAAGCAGATAATGGTGTGACCGGTAAATTTAGTAATAGTGGACAATATCATGCAGGAATGAATGCAGTAAAGTGGTATGTGGGTAATTTGGCCAACAAAGGTCAATGTTAAACTTATCAACTATTCTAATGGAAATGTTATCACATGTCACATAATTACATTTAGGATTCTATAATTTGCTCCAGTTGTTATTGGTATCTTGGAGTTCTTGATCACAAACTGGTCAGATACTGTCGAGTTCACCGCACAATTTACTTACGCAGTAGATTGCAATACTCTACCTTCACTTATTTGCTTTGTTAGGACTGTAGTTGTGGCTGTGTAGCAATTAGTAAATATTTTATTATTTAATTTTTAGAACAAGTTAGTCGAGATTATGACAAGTTAGTGTAGCAGTTCACTGATGTTGTTACTATTTTGCTTTAATGATCTAGCCTAGTGGTTAAACACTTTATATTGTTATCTAGTCAAAGGTGTTATTTGTACCGTTTATTGTGTAGCGATTACAATATTCATCACCAAAGTAGTGGCTGTGACAGATGAGTGATAGCTAATATTATAGATTGTATCAGATGGTAAAAACGGGAAAATACTATGAATAATGACCTCCTACACATGACCTCCTGCACAGAGTGCTGCATGTTACTGATTTGAATCACAAAGTACATCTGGATGTACTAAACACATAAATATAATAATAATAATAATAATAATAATAATAATAATAATAATAATAATAATAACAATAACAATAATAATAACAATAACAATAAAATTATTATTATTATTTTAATCATTGAATAACTTTTCTTAAATTTTTAAATGTTTATATCAATACACACGAAAACTGATTTAAGTAAATGGGCATACAAACCTTTTCTCTTCTGGGAATCAAAGAAGAGAGACCTCGTTTGTACTCTACACCAATGTAGTCTCCATGAAAGTTTCTATTAAGGGAGTGTCTACGCCGTTCCTTACGATTGACCAAGAGATCACTAGCTTCCAGTCGTTCCTTCAAATATCGCCGTTTGCTAAAATTTAAATGAATCGTACAATTATACAAGAGCAGATTATGGAGATACTGTATTGTAATGATTAATGAATCAATGTCTATACACAAGTTAAAAAACAATACAGTAATATAAAAACTTGATAAGAAAAGAATGTAAAATAATTTGTACTTTTACTTCAGCAGAATGTATGCAAGTAATATTTAAGTAATATTTTATTGAACTGAGAAGCAATGCAGCATGTAGATATCATTATGTAATAGCTTTGCAATGTATAATAAGCTACAATTTATCACTGAAGACAACAGATATGTATATAGCTGAAGAACTAAAAACATTGGGTAATAGTGAAAACCTTTTAAACCTTTGTAAAAATCTTTTACATACACTGCTGTGGACAAACTTTCCAATACAGTACCGTATATTTATAACACCAAAAATTTTTATATTTCATAAATGGTACAATTTACTCTGAAAGTACAGTAGTACATTTTTAATTTTTAACATGGCATAAGTTTCTGCAAACTGAATGACTTGGTAGATACAGTATGTGCCTGCATGACGAGGTCTTCACAAACACAATGTTCCAGGCCTCAAATGATAAAACATAATACGCAACCAACCTGTAGTATTTCTTGAATGCCTGCTGGATAATTCGGGCGAAGTGGTCATATCTGCGCTCTCTACACTCTTCAAGCATGTACAGAGATTCTGGATCCTAAATACAGAAAAACTAAAGTTATGTATCTTCAGTCATGATCAGTAACAAGTCATAAACTATAGGAGTTAAAATGTTGATGTAAAGGTTCTTTAATAGATCCTAAATTATTGTATAGGAATTATGATGTAGGTGAAGACATTCTATTCATTAGAAAACAAATTTAAATCAGTAAATGATGATAATAATAATAAGAATGGATAATAGGAATTGTAGTTACAAATTGGTCTCAGTACAAAGGATGAATGTAAACATCTTTATTTATATAGTTCTATGATATAATAATTACAGATACATAATAGAAGCAACCTTCAATTAGGTTGTAGAAAGTATATTATGTCAGTAATATACTTGCTCTATATTTTCATTAGCTTATGTGCAGATAATAAGGTGTGTTTGATAATTTCTACTTGGTCCACTAATTACAATTAATACCTCTTCCCAAGTGTACAGTTAATACCTCTTCCCTAACCTGCTAGAGGGTGGTCAGGTGAGGTGTGGATCGGTAATACAACCAGTCGATAGCAAATCATCTCCAGTCTAACTCCAAGAGTGATTCAGTACAGATGCTTGAGAGATACCACACATCTTCAACAACAATGTAACACTGGACGTGTTCAGTTCCTACCCTCACGAGACGGATCAGCCTCAACACAGAGCAACCAGCCAGACTCTGGCCGCATCGAGCTTCCACGTTCTCGTCTAGCACTTAGCTCTTTGACTCCGCCCGCATTCAGAGCACCACGCTCTACACACTTACCCTGCATCCAAGCATCTCTCTATCCCTGGTCTCACTCAGCTCTCTGCCCTGCTCCAGGCTTCCTCTCAACTACATCAATTCTTCACTACATTGCCAACAAATTGACTGTTGTAACCAAGACTATACTAAATATAAAAAACCACTAAACTCTGTGTCTAATCAATCAAACACGCTCGAGTAATCATACGTTACAAGATATTATACCTTTACGAAGATTTTACTCCTGCCAATCTGATATTGGCTGGGGTCCATGTTCACGCTCGTCATGATTATATGTATGCCTTGCGTTGGCTCGCCATGCCACGAAGGCCATGTATCCTTAGTTAAGATTGCGTATCTATGCAGGAACTTTTGGAATGGGCGTCGATAGGCAAAGCCAGCTCTTTTCACTCTGATGTTTTCCTTCAAGCCGAGGTATTCTACCTGCATAACACATGAGGAAAAGTTAGATTTTGTCGTGCTGAATTATACTACAGAAAAAACTTCATATAATGAATGAAAAGACAGCATTTAAGAATTAAGATAAATAATCAAAAAAGCTTTGAAAATGGCCTAGTCAATAAAACAAATAAAAGCGACACTGCATCATGAAAAATATTATGATGTAATATGACAAAATAATTCAATACGTCTTATTTATATCCAATTCTCACCTGATGTTTTACCATTTGATCGTCCCAATCATGAGGCCTTTTAGTCTCATTTGGTTTAATACAACGAATATAGTGTGGCACGCACTTCACGAGAGTGGTGACAAGCTCATTTGCCTGTGTTCTTATCTTGGTGCCAGCCGTGGTTGGCCTACCCTTCACACCAGCCTGAATCACATCTGGGAAGAGGCTGCGAATGAATGCATTGCTGCTCATTTGCATTACCTGTTGGGTATACAGTAAATTATTTTTATGCATTCTTAACATACATGAACATCTTAAGAGTAATATATATACCAGCACAATTCGTCAACTTACATACACTGTGTTTTACCTGAATTTATCCGAGGGCTACTATCTCTCTTGTGGCCTCAATGAGGACAGGAAAGATCACCCTATTTGTCTTAATGAATTTATAGAGATAAATTTTGAATTTTCAGCAATGTTTTGGGATTTATGGCTTTGGTGGGAAAGCAATTCCATGGGTTTATAACCCTTGATCTCTTGTTTTCTGTCCTACATTTTGGCTTATTGAAATTGAAATCATTGCTCCTTATTTGTTACATCTGACCTTTTCAAGAAGTGGTCTGGATTAATATTCTCCAAATTCTTAATACTGCATTTTCAAAGTTTTGAGGAGTTCAGCCCTGTCATGTTTCGTTTGCAGGGTTGTTAGCCCTGTGGCCCCTCAACAATTCCTGGTAGGGGAGTCAACTTAGTTCAGGAATAATTTTTGTTGCCTGGTATTGAACTTTCTCTAGACCCCTTTATATTTTTCTGAAGATGAATTCTCCATACTTGGATACAACAGTCCAAGATGGTGTGCACTAGAGACTTAAACAGTGGAATAACTACCTGAAGTATCTTTTCTGTATACTGTACTCTATAATGAATATACAAATAAACAAAGCACAGTGTTTACTCAGAAATAACTGAAGTATTTGGAAAAATTAGGTGTTTTCTGGACTAATGACTGGGTGCACAAATCAATCAAGATGATCAGCAACATGTGCTCTCAACTATTCTTTTCCATTTTTTTTATATTTTAATTATAAAATTTTACTGTGAAGTTGTTCTTGACGAGCTGTATTTTTTTGTACAAAAAAATGGCATTACTGAATATTCCTTATACTGGAAAATAATATATAAAGTCACATTCATTCCCAATACAGTACCTCAATGATATCAACGAAGAGAACGTCCCGGTTTTTCTCACAGAAACTTTCAACGTGATACGAGACATTGCCAGCATAGTGTTTGATAGTAAATCCATTATTGAATTTTTGGTAGTGTGGGTTTGTTCCAACCTGCAAAGTGTACAAAACCAATGTTTAATAATATCATTAAATAAATGAAGCATGTTTTACTAGTACCAAAATAACTTTGTGAGCAGAACAAATACAGTATATAAGTTCAGTCCTCTATGTCCAATATGAAAGCCTACAGTATACCATTTCTCTTAACCCTTAGTGCATGCAATTATAAAAGTATATGTAATCTAGTATTTTAAGAGTCATTTTCCATGTGACAGTTAAAGATACAGAACAAAATAGTGAAGAAAAAACCAACGTTGAATGTAATGAAACGGCATTTTCTGGGTAGAGCCCCGGAGACTCCTTGGAGCTACTGGACTGATATTAGCTAATATTAGTATGGGGCTTCAGTCATATGGAGACCACCGGGGACCACTAGCCAGAACATGGTCCCTTCACCTCTCTGAGGGGACGATGTTCTGCCTAGTGGTCCCCGGTATGCACAACAAGTCCATATGACTGAAGCCCCATACTTATATTAGCTAATCTCAGTCCAATAACTCCAGAGAGCCGACGGGGCTCAAGGGAGCCCTGTCGACTCCCATAGAAAATTAGAACAATCTTTAAAAAAATCTAAAGTTCCCATAGAAAAATCCCCATATTTCAGTGGATACGAAGAATTCCACACTAATTAAATTCTGATATTCATGCGAGTTCCTCAAATTTTGATAATGTTGACCCTTATTTTTAATGTCCCTGATGACAACAATTAAAACTTTTGTTATACTGTACTAGAGATTTACCAGTATGTTTTCTAGTAAAATGTAAGACAATCTTACTGAATACAAGCCACTGGAAAGTATATACATTATTTTTAAGCCTCGGAGAAGTACTGTAATACTATTGAGTGATTTTAGAGCTCCATTTTTGATGAAGTTTATATTCAAAAACATTTTTGTTTGGCTTTAATTGAATTATTTTGATTAATTATTTTTCATCCAATTTTGATGAAATTTTCACACAATGTGAAAACATTGCATAACAGCCACTACAAAACATACATGTTTTTCTCAATTCAAAATATTTAATGTGAATATAAAGAATAGGTTCAACTGCTCTAAAGGAGAAAATTAAATAAATTAGATTACATTTCAGTTTAACATACTTGTGAATCCATCTTACGATGAAAGTCATCATCAGCACCTTCAGATTTTGCACTCATGGTGGCACAGGTATCATCAAGTATGCACATGATGCCAGGTGGTCGTTTGCTTTCTATAAGGTCACAAACAATTTTGTTGTCAAAGTAGTTGATTGGTGTCCATTTAATACCCTGGAAATATACATTAATAAACATACGAATATGAATATATTTCATAAAACATCATCACTACATGAAACTTGTAGTAAAACACCTTAACTTATATGTACTGTACCAACTATGGCACAACTCAAAGCACTGCCACTTGGCTATTACACTGCAGTTACTGTACTCTTACTATATTACAGTTACCACTACAGCTACCAAATCTAGAATAAAGTAATCAGTGCCTTACCATCATTAAATATCACTTTGAAAAAATTGTACTGTATATCATTTGCTAATTTTCTTTCATTCATATATATCTGCTTACTTCTCACAGTATTTATTAATTATTATCTACCATAATTATTTGTTTAAGTTATGCCCAAAATACTGTATCTACTAATAACCACTGCAATATGACGATTTATGTATCTTAACACTAACAATAGATTTAATTGTTTATTTATATCATTATTATCAAGCCTAAGCTTCAAAATGTTCACATAGTGCAATATATTTCCACTTCTTAGTCTTTATCAATACAGTATTTGCATTCTTACCTCCGCTAAATATTCTTCCTGTTCACTCTTCAAAGTCAGCTCAATGAAAATTTGCTGTAATTTTTCATTCACATAGTTGATGCAGAATTGTTCAAATCCATTCTTGCTAAATATTTCAAATCCATATATGTCAAGAATACCAATGCTTATCAAATTTGCATCAGTGACCATGGCTTTATTTACCGTCTGCAGTGACAAAAAATGCAAAAATAAATATGCATATTTTCAAATAATTTATCATGAATATTGAATATTTTGCAACTGCCAATTATCAGAGCATAACACACACAAAGGCAAAATTAATATATCATTGTTAACATGCAATATACAGATACAGTACTTACAAATAATGTATTCATTTTCTCAAAGACAGGCAGCTTGTGTATATATCTACATTAGGCTTATATTGAGGTCACCCTAAGGTTGAACTATTGACCCTTCCCAGCATGTAATCCCACTACAGTTGACTAACTCCTGGGTACCTACTTACTGCAGGTGAACAGGGCATTAGGCGACAGGAAACGTGCCCAACCATTTCCGTCCCACCTGGGATTTGAACCCATGATTCCCAAATGTGAATCGAGAATGAACCCAACTGTACTACTATGGCGAGGTTATATTAGCAGCCCAAAGAAAAAATGGGAGTGGTTTAGGAAAAGATTAATTTTTACAAAATTGCACTCATCCATTTGTCACATCTCACACACTTCTGTACATAGCATTACAGACAAAGAAGTATTGCCAATATTCGTTAACAATTCACAAAGAAACACAGCTAGTTGCAGCACATTCAGGTTTCTAACATTATAAAACAAATGAAATTTGCACCTAATAAATGAGAAAATGCCTATGTTTCAAATGTAGATATACTAATAGAACAATTACAGTAGTGGGTACAATAAATTAAATAAGTACAGTATATGATCAAATTCACTTTAATTGCTGCTCTAGTGAAAATACAAGAAAAATGTATAAAAGTAATGAGAATGAGTTAAACATAAAATATTAAAATTATGTGATATGGGTTAAAATTATGTGATATGTGCAGATAGATGACAAACATGTAGGCATTTTATGAGCAAGAGCATCCTTTCTACCACATCTCTCTAACATTGACACTTTCGCTCGGTAATGACGCAGTATGGCATGAAAACTTTAGTAGACAAATGTTCGGTAACGACGCAGTATGGCGTCAAAAATTAAAAAATTTAGCCTGCCTTTGGGTTGGCTGTGGGAGAGACGCGCTGAGGTTTTGGACATTATATGCATATAATCCTGTAGGGAATTTCATTGTGAATACATTGATACCAAAATGAAAGACCAAGGACCAGAATTGAGGTAACAAAGTTAAAAAGAGTATACACATTTTATTGGTCTTGATGAGCGCTCACGGGGGTAACGCTCCGTCACTTTCTCTGTTTGCTGTGGGTGGTCCGGTAGGCTTTTGGACTTTATACTTGCATATACTCCTGTAGGGAATTCTATTGCGAACACATTGATACCAAATTGAAAAACCTAGGTCAAGAATTGAGATGACAAAGTTGAAAAGAGTATAGACTTTTCAGTATTCCCGCGCTCTCTAATGGAATGCAAGGCATACCTTGGGATGTCGCAGCTCTCTCTTTCAGGTAACCTTGGGCCACTTTTATCTTGTTGGCAGGTAGAGCGTGCCGCTGTTTTTGACATTATGTGCATATACTCCTGTAGGGAATTATATTGCGAACACAATGACACCAAAATGAAAGACTGAGGACGAGAATTGAGGTGACCAAAGTGAAAAGGGTGTATACATTTTATTGCTCTTGTGCGCTCCCGGGTAACACGCTCTCACTTTTTCTGTTTGTTGCAGATGGTATACCGGGCTTTTGGGCATTATATGCATTTAGTCTTGTAGAGAATTCTATTGCGAACACATTGCTACAAAATTGAAAAACCTAGGATGAGAATTAAGATAAAATTGAAAAGAGTATACACTTTTCAGTATTACCGCACACTCCTGTGGAATGCCAGGACCCACTTAGGGGTGCGCGGTGCTCTCTTGCCCAGAACAACAAAGTGTTCATTAAGGGAAACTCCCGAACTTTGTAAAAGAATAAGTTAAGAGAATGGATAAACCTGAATTTATTCAGTGTGGCTATCCGAATACTGTACTTGTAGTGAGTAAACCTTATACTCGCTCCATTACCTCATCATCTTAATTAATGGCATAACTAATTAGCACTAACTACACAAGCTATAATCCTATCCCTATTTACAGGTAACTGTTCTTCCATCCTCGTATCTTATTGTAGGGAGCTGAGGTGTAGTCACCGAATATAAGCAAGCGACATGAGAATAGCTAACAGTACAGTTTCCACAGTCAAGAATGTAGCACTCGGCGTATACAGTCCTAATTGACCCCAAGACACTACAGCTTTGACACAGAACAGACAGCAGACTAGGACCGCATTGAGCTACAACGCTCTCCCACATAGAGCTCTGCAACTTCGGCCTCACTCAGCTCTCTGCTCTGCTCCAAGCTCCGTCTCAATGTCTACGACACTGTTGTATCCAAGACTACTAAATAAATATTAAAACCCACTAAACCATGTGTATCTAATCTACCCAACAACATAACATAAACGTACGTTACATACTCAAACAAAAATGGGAAACACTGATTTCACAATTAAAACCAATATTTAATATCCCTTAACTTAATATTCTGCCAGCAATAAACTGACCAAAAATCTGAGGAACTAGCCACAGCTAAAGATCTAAAGAAGGAAAGTGGTCAAGATAGTAGATGGAGAAGACAAAAGTTCTCTTCATAAGGAACCCAAACTCCTTAATAGCAGTTCTTCCATTGACCCAATGCAATCTGAAAGTTACACTATACCAGTAAACAAGTGTGCATATAGTAGATTGAAATAGTGTTAGTAGGTATGCTGTAGCTCGCAAGCCTTTTAACCTGTGGTAGTCCCTATCACATCACATGTAGAGATTAGGAACTTGGTTCTTTGAAACCGAGTTAAACACCATCAGTTTACAAACTTGGGCATATGGCTGTCCCAATTACATCACCTGCAGTTTATTCACTGTATTTTTTTATTGTCCTTATACCACATGTAGTTTACAGCTCAATTATATGGATTTCAATGTATCACCAGCTAAGCAAGTAGATCATGTTTAATGTACTGTATTTGCAAACATAACTTGATGACTACTAATTAAGTAATTGCATTTAACTATAATCTACAATTTCTTACCTCTACAATATAGTCAAATAATCTAGAATATAATCCTTTGGTCCAGGCATCTCTTGCAAACTGCGCCTGCTCTGTGTTTAGAGTCACATCCACCCTCTCGGATTTTCCACCCCATTTGCCATCAAACACACGGCTGATAAGCTTCTGACCCAGGAGTTGAGCATCAATTCCCAGGAGAAATGCTGGGAACTGCAAATCTACATGAGAAAAATGGAATAATATTAGAGAGAGTTTTAACTTTAAACTTTTTTTGGGACTGTTTGATCAACAAACATATACCGCAAGTCAGAGAATGGCGACCTTTTCAATTCTTGGCATACTATAATTTTTTTTTAAGGAGAGACTATATATATACAGTATACTGTATATAAAAATGGATATTAAGACTGTGTTTAAAAGTTTAATAGCTAATATTTTAATCATACAGGGAGTTTTATTTGTTGATTACAGATTTCAAAAGATTGTCTTTTCTTATTATTCCTGATATTTTTAATCTTGCCTCTAACTCCCATGGCACACCTGTGGACCCTTCGTGGCACACTAGTGTGCCGCAAAATAGTGGTTGAAAAAACACTGCTTTAAGTGTCGGGTATTAAACAAAATTTCAGACAAAACAAAACCATAAAGAGAATACTGGAAACTCCAGACCAGTTTACCATTTCCCATAGTACTGTAGGATGCCTGCACAGCAGCAGGCATTCTGGCATAATGCCATGGTTATCAAAATTAAACACATCTATGCAACAGTAATTATTTCTGTACATATTCTATTTAAATTACAGGTAGGGTATGCAAGTTCACTTTTTATCTTTTAACTTCGCTAAACAAAATTGAAAGTGCAGCTCACAGTTTGGATCCATGATGAAGGATGCATTGTTATCTTCAGTGAAGGAAATGTTGCCTATGTGGAGAATTGCTGCAACAATGCGGAGAATGTCGAGTTGTGTGTTCTCTGGTATGCCCATCACACTCATTGCTAGAACATTTTAGAACATTATGCACATCAATTTTCATAAAAGATAACTCATTACATATACACCTAGTAAATAAATTTTTAAAGAGTTCACACTACATTATTTCAAAGTACGGATTTTCCAATATGGTTAGCTACAATATTATTTTAATGTAATAGATTGTGAATGGAATGAATCTTAACATGTAAGGCATATACAGTACAGGAGATATTTGGCTAAGAATGCTAGGCTGGCGTGAGAGTTTTATACATGAAGGTAGAAGAATGAAGAAGAACTTGGGAAGACAAGCAAGTGCTATGAGCAGTTAATGACATAAACCTGTGAATTTTAAGGATGCAAACTGACATGGAAGGAGTGTGAAGAAAATAGGAATATGATTAGAATAAAAGATATGAACAAACTTGCTAAGCAGAAGAAATGGGAAAGAGCCACTTTAAGAAATTAAAAAAAAAATAATAATTAAAAAACATAAATCTGGTTTGGAAAGAAGTTTGAAAGTGCAACAAGGAGACATTAAAAGGTGGAGAAGTATTTTGAAAGTGTGATGGGTAGAACTGACAAAAGAAGTACAAATAACAAACAGACCACGAAAGCACTTGTAATGCAACCTACAAAGAATATCGCATTTCGTTCACATGTGTTACATAAGGCCAAAATTTTTGGTACAGTACTAGAAAATGGAAGTGGCTGGCAAAAGTGATGTACTACAGTATTCCATTTTCTGTTTTGGATCCTCTGGTAGGTTTGGAGAGGATACTTTACATTTACCGTTTTCTTGACGTTGGGAAACCTTAGGACGACAGGCTGTATAATGATGTAGAGAAATGAAAGGACAGTGGAACTTCTGGAAAGGACTAACTTTGCAACTGAAGAAGGGAAGGGAACTATCAGGGGGGGAAGCGCCAAGTCATTACGACTATATGGCACTTGGAAGGGGTCAGGATAAGGATTTGGGATGGGACAGAGGGAAGGAATGGTGCCCAACCACTTGGACGGTCGGGGATTGAACGCCGACCTGCATGAAGCGAGACCGACGCTCTACCGTCCAGCCCAAGTGGTTGGGTTTGCAACTGAAGAGACATTATGGTTTTCAAAAAGACAAAGAATGCCTTTGGCACTGTTCCCCACAAAGGTTGATTCCCATTTTGGAAAAGCAAGTTGGCATAATTGGGAAGATACTGGACCAATATCTGGCAAATAGAGGGTTGTGGTGAAAAGAAGTCAGGATGGAATGATGTAAGTGGGATCTTGCAGAGTTCAGTATTTGGACAATTATTGGTGTTGATTTATGCAATGACTTCCCAGTGGATTGAGACTCATACATGACTATTTGTAGGCAAGGTGATGAGAAGAGCAAGCAGCAAAGTGAACTACACAATATTCCAGGAGGACACTGATGAACTGCAAGAATAAGCAGACAAATTGGCAACTGATTAATTGAAATTTTTTTTTATTAAATATTTGTATTTAAGTAATGAAGTTCAGGAAAGGGAAGAAGAAACTAGGAAGAAAATGCTGTGGAGTTCACACAGGAGGTAGTTACACGAATCAAATGAAAAAAGAACCAAACCCTCTGAGTTGCAATGGACATGTGGGTCAGCAAATGGCTCCAAGCAACAGTCTCTCAGATCACATTATAACAAGAAAAGTCTGGCCCCAGGATGGGCTTGGGAGTAAAACAACTCTCTGAACACAACAAGTAAACCATAGAAATATATTAATAGGAAAAACATCAGCTGCTTATGCAAAGCTAGAAAACATAAGGATGACTTTCAAAAATATTACCAAGAAATCCTTCAGAATAATGTACTATTCAGTGTATGATAGGCCAGCCCTAGTAAACACAAGAACAAAGGTACAAAGGAAGGTACAAAGACTTACCATGAGACAAGTACCAAAGGTAAAATAAATGAGCTATCAGGAGAAGCTAAGAGAATGAAATGCTCTGCGTATTAGTGGCTATATGTAATGTACATTTCTTACCTAGGAATTCTATACAATATCATCAAATGTATACACTTTTATATGAATAAACTATTATTATTATAAATTTAATGATAACTTTAAAGAAAAGAAAGAGGGGCAATATGATTACTATGTATAAGATACCATTAGACAAAGTGAGTAGAGATGGTATTTTCCCAGTGAGAGATAGTAGAACAAGGGGAGGGGGACATGTTGAAGATGGAAACAAGGATGAGCTACTCAGTAGCTTCCCGATGCTACAACCTGGAAAAACACAAGCTTTGGAGATCATACCAGGCCTCTGAAGGGCCACAAACTTCTAATGAGGGCTCAGAACCAGAAACTGGCTCTCAAAGAGGCAAGGGAAGCATGGGGATTAGCAATCACCACAGAACAAAGCCCACCAGAAAGCCAAAGCACTCCAAAACAAGCAGCTGCTTGGAAAATTTTATATACCAGACAAAATAATGAAAGGCCAAGACAATAATTAACAGACACGGTGACTGAACACGGATTGAGCACGGAAAGTACACAAGATGCTGTAGGGAATAAGACAAGATAGAACTAGTAAAAGTGAATGTTTTGACACTTTAAATAGCTCACAGGAAGCCCTTTACACCTGGATGAATGAAGTGGCAGGGCGCAGCTGTGAAAGTGTTACTGGATCTGTATGATGCTCCAGCACAGTATGTAGTGTGAGAGATATGACATATGGGTATTGTAATGTCTTTTTTGGGGATACTGAATTATCACTCTTATTTTCCTATTCGCTCTCCAATTTCTCCCAGATTGATGCTTTCGTAATTCAGAAAAGTGGAATATAGGCTAGTAATAATGATTATTAATACAATTTAATTTTTTTTTTTTTTTTTTTTTTTTTTTGTTGAGATATATACAAGAGTTGTTACATTCTTGTACAGCCACTAGTACGCGTAGCGTTTCGGGCAGGTCCCTGGAATACGATCCCCTGCCGCGAAGAATCGTTTTTTCATCCAAGTACACATTTTACTGTTGCGTTAAACAGAGGCTACAGTTAAGGAATTGCGCCCAGTAAATCCTCCCCGGCCAGGATACGAACCCATGACATAGTGCTCGCGGAACGCCAGGCGAGTGTCTTACCACTACACCACGGAGACTGTAAATTGTTACTAACCTCTCAGTGTCTCTTGGAAATCATGAGCATCATTAGTGCCATCGACCTTATAAACACCACTTTGGTTTAGGTAGGAATAATAGTCTGGAGAAGCAATGCCCAGTTCACTCTTCATATCAGCTGTAGCACCTGCACATATTTGATAGAAAATATGAAAGCTCCTCTCTCCTTCGTTTAGGGAATGTACTCGTGATTTCTCCAGTAGAAAATTAGATATTCGTCCTCCAAGGGGCTCGCCTCCTCTTGAGAACTGGATTTCTATATACTTGCCCTGTGAAACAATTGACAAGTTTAATAACTGTACTCTTAACTCTAGGTAAATATGGAATTTTATCTTTATGTATATATCTGTGGATGCACGTATGCTTGAGAGGAGAAAAGTGTGGTGTGGAGGATTTGGATATAGTACAGCATATACAATTTTTAATAAATACTATATAGTAGTAGCAATGTTAACTTTTAGTTCAATATGATTCATGGTGCAAAGACTTTCATATTATATGAAGTATAGTTTAAGGCAGTGGCTCTATCTTTGGGTTTTCTTATCTCTTGGGGTAAATAAAATAAGTAAAAGCTACATAAATACAAAGCTACAGTAAATACAAATGCTCAAGACATGCCATTGTCATTCAACAGGTTGGAATTAATTCTCAGAAATTCAGAATAACTATCTGCATGTCTGACATTCCTGTCAATAATGAAAACAATCTACATTTTATTCCTCATAATAGTCCTACTTAAGAGTGCATTACTCATAAATAATTTGTTATTCTTAATTTTGTGTTTCTGCTCCCATTAATAATAATTTGCAACACTGTACAGTACTTACAAATCGAGAGGAATTATTGTTTCTGGTTGTCTTGGCATTTCCAAAGGCCTCCAGCAGAGGGTTTGACTCCAGAATAATCTCCTTTACTTGTTGTACTCTCTGTCCACCTCCTGATATTCGTGTGATGTAGTTCATTATAAATTTGGCAGAGACTGTCTTGCCTGCCCCAGACTCACCACTGAAATAAACAACAGGATCTGGATGCTACTTGCAATAAAAGAAAAGCCTGATAGACAAACAGTAATGGATAAACCGGCAAATAAAACTTATCTTCTTTAAATCCTCTATCAAACACAGTTTCCAACTAAATGATTTTGATAACACGAGGGCAAACGAGAAAAGTATTCCCAGGCAGGAAACAAACAAGTTGATATAATTAGTACAGGAGGCTCAGTGACAACACTTTACTGGTGTAATGTATACGGGCTGGTGTAACAAACACGAGCCACTTTAATATACATGGGCTGGTGTAATATACATAGGCTCATGTACATGGGCTGGTGTAATATACATGGGCTGATGTACATGGACTGGTGTAATAAAAATAGCAAATGTGGTACAGTACAGTAGGTTAGTCATACTGTGGTGGTTGAATTTTCCCAAGAAAACTCAATGAATATTTACATAGTAAAAAATGTATTTAATGTTCAAAATAAATATTTTAAAGTTTCAAAAAATAAATACTAGCTTTAAAAATTCAAAAAATAAATACTAGCTTTAAAATTTCAAAAATTAAATACAGTAGTTTGAAAATGTTTTAATGAAAACAGAAAACAATCAAGTAACGTGCAAACAATGCATTACAAAAATGTACAGAACATTTGTTCTGTACAAAAATGTCCAGAACTTTACAATACTGTACTTACATAGTTTAAATATTGTCAATACAGTATACTGTAAATGTAATGTCACTACTGTATATATAGAGCCGGACAATCTTGCAAATAAAGACCCATTTTATCTGATCAATCGACTAATTGATATTTTACAGTACTTACCTAATAATGACACATTGACTGTCATTGTCAATCAACATGTTGCGATACATGGTGTCTGCAAGAGAGTAAATGTGTGGAGGGACTTCATACTGTGCCGCACCCTGGTAAAGCTCTATCTCGCGATCCCCAAAATATGGAAGCTGCTTGAATGGGTTGACAGCCACAAGCACAGGACCGATGTATGTGTATATTCTGTTGACAAGCAGGAGTATAGGTAATGGTTTTAAACATGTCAGTATTATCAAGTGGCAAATTTCTGGGATAGATTCCTTCAGTGGCTCCTCAAACTACCTAAACATAACTCAAAGCCATCAAAGAAACCCCACCTTAAGGAGTTACTTTCTACATTTAATGCTGGATTTATTTCAACCTTTAAATAGGACAGAATTCTCAGTATCAAAATGACAAGTCTGAGAAGCCAAACAAATAAGCCAAAGATCCAGGGGCTTACCTGTACAGTATATTGTAAAGAATCTATGGAAATATGCCCCTAATGCCCTGCATTTCTCACTTAAAAGCATTTGACAACTGGATTTTATATTTTTATATTATAGCTCTATTTTGCTTTTGAATCCACCACTGTAGATGATGATTCACAAAACCGTGTCTGGAGATATGATGACCATACATCAGAAAATGAAGAGACGATGACGTTTCGGTCCGTCCTTTTCTGACATGTGGTCTGGTCATCGATCTATCATTGTATCTGATGTGTGGTCTGGTCGTCGATCTATCATTGTATCTGACGTGTGGTCTGGTCGTCGATCTATCATTGTATCTGACGTGTGGTCTGGCCATCGATCTATCATTGTATCTGACGTGTGGTCTGGCCATCGATCTATCATTGTATCTGACGTGTGGTCTGGCCATCGATCTATCATTGTATCTGACGTGTGGTCTGGTCATCGATCTATCAATGTATCTGACGTGTGGTCTGGTCATCGATCTATCATTGTATCTGACGTGTGGTCTGGTCATCGATCTATCATTGTATCTGACGTGTGGTCTGGCCATCGATCTATCATTGTACTTTAATTTAATTTAAAACAACTGTAAGCTTCTCTTTGATTGTTTTTGTCAGCATCTGGGTTTTACTGACAACTCTTGAAAGCTCAACATTATCATACCCTACAGAATATGACACTTATTTTAATATCCCTCATTATCATCATAGCAAAAACAGTATATAAAGAGTACCATGTCATATCGTCAGTCGTACTCAGGAATCAATTAAGTCACATCGACGAGAGATTAACATTTCTATCAAACCTGCAAAACACGCAACATATCAAAGACCTGTTCTCTAAAATTAATGAACTATCTTATTACTTGTCTTCTAAGAGTCTCCGCTTTAAGTTGTCTGTAATGGCAGCCTCTGTTATCTTAGTGAGAAGGACCATGTCATCCACAGAAGACTTCTTGCTGCCTGCTTCGCTCTGCCAGTGATACATCTGCAAGACCAAAAATACCTTATTATAAATTACAGTACTACAAGTATTTGCTTCAATTATTCTGCCTCAATGTAATAAATAATTATATAATTCCAGGCACAGTCGCCATTCAAGCCTTTACTTGCTTCCAATCACACTAGGTAATTATAAATAAAAGTGGCTCTGCTTCCCCCACCCCTTAGCCTACTACATCCAACTTGGAAGTGGTAATGGGTAGAATGGGTTGTATGAACCCATCCCTTCAGCCCATTCACCTCAATTTCATTCCTCCCGCACAAATGCACATCTACTGACACCTAAACCACCCCTCATTATCACAGCCTCACACCTACCTTGGATTAATAAAGTCTTTAATTGGGCAACTTTTAAGGCAGTGTCGGGGATGCTCCCGGACGCAGGTTCGAGTCCTCGTCACGGCCCTTGTGGATTTGTTCACCTACAACCCTAATTTCCCTGCACTTCTCACCTCATCCTCAACCCGTCCCCTGCCCAAGCTCCCGTGACTCACAAGATAATCTTAACAAAAGCTCTGGTACACAAATGAAGCAAAGAACAATGGGAAAACCAGACTTAATAGTGGTGACAAAACTCTCATAATGATAACCAAGGCAGTTTTACACAGTATCAGATACTATGGTAAGAAAGAACCTGGAGGAAAGGAGGAGGGAGAGTAGTCCTATTGATAAGGAGAGAAACAAACTTTGAAGAAAAAAAGCATTGAGAAAGAAAATGGATATAAAGACCACCAAGATAAATATAATCGAAGAAGTGAAGATAGTGGCAGTGGTCATCTTTAACACTGTCTTGAACACCAATTTAAGGCTTAGAGAGGATTGATGTATGATGCTGTAAACAGAGCTTGCATAGATATAGATCAAGGGGGGGGGGGGCAGCTAGGATGGCCCACAGACCAAAGGCAAACTCTTAATCGTTTGCAACTTCAACTATGAATAGAATGGGTTACAAGAGTTGCACGGGGAGGGTACGAGACATGATGATCGACTTGTGAATGGTCCAGGACGGACTGAAACGTCGTCGTCCCTTCAACTTCTAGTGTGTGGTCTGGTCAACAGACATGATGATGTAAGCATGCGAAAGTAACAGATAGTAACTTCCTGACACAGCATATCAGGAAAGATATGAGAATGATGCGAGATTTATCAGAAAGACTTTACCTTGGATTAATAAAGTCTTTAATTGGGCAACTGAAAATAATATGATGTTTAACTGTGACAAGTTCCAGGTATTGGTATGGTGGAAACGAAGTTAAAAAGAGAAACAGGGTACAAGACACAATCAGACCTACTCATTTGAAGGAAAGCAACATGTAAAAGATCTGGGAATAATGATGTCTGACTACCCGACATTTAGTAAACATAACAGAGCAAATATAGCGGCGGCCAGGTAAAAGATAGGATGGATTATGAGAACGCTCAAATCCAGAGACCCCAAAGGAGAGATCTCTGAATTAGAGAGAATATAGATAACATATACGGCACGCATAGAAACGATAAACCATCTAAATTATTGGGACAATCTCAAAGCTCTCAAAAGGAGACGAGAAAGGAAAGGACACCCAGAGTCTTTCTCCTCTTTGGAAAGGAGACGAGAAAGGAAAGGACACCCAGAGTCTTTCTCCTCTTTGGAAAGGAGACGAGAAAGGTATCATATAATATATACATAGAAGATACTTGAAGGCCAGGTCCCAAATTTGCACAGTAGAATAACAACATACTGGAACGAAAAATACATAAGCAAATAGAGAATAGAACCAGTGAAGAGTAGAGGTGTCATAGGCACAATCAGAGAACACTGTCTGAACTTCGGAGGTCCATAGCTGTTCAACACCCTCCCAGCAAGCATTATAAATATTGCTGGAACAAAGGTGTATGTATTCAAGAGGCACTTCGATAAGTTCTTGCAAGAAGTGCTGGACCAACCAGGCTGTAGTGGATATGTGGGCTTGCAGGCCGCTCCAAGCAACAGCCTGTTGGACCAAGTTATCACAAGTCGAGCCTGGTCTCGGGACGGGCTCGGGGAGAACAGCTCCCAGAACCCTCTCCAGGTATGCTCCAGGTATTTACTTAAAGCATAAAGAACATTAAAAAGAACGGACCAGCTAAAGGAGATTAGTGAATAACTTAGACTTCTTTCTAGAGGGTGCAAATCTTGTCTAACTCCCAACGACCTGAAAGCACCAGTATAAAAAGCCATGATTTGTTGAGATCTGAAACCTATGTTTATGGGGCAGCACAAAACGTGGACCAGACTGTGCGACACAGTGGTTGCTAGGATCAGGTTGGGTTACCGTTACCTGTTGCAGGTGGCTACAGGTGACGGATCTCTCAATCCTGAGCACTCCAGGTGCAAACTCTGTGAGCAGGAACTGCGGCATGATCTCCCACACCACATCACCGAATGCCCAGTTATCAGACCATTCAGACTCTTTGACATGAGGTACTTGGAGCTTTGCAATTTCTTTATTCACACTCGTGTTCTTGAAGATATCCTCATATTGCACCCAAAGTTTGCCAGTGCAGACTACTGAACATATAGTCCTGTATGACTAACCATCCTGCGAGATGGAGACTCAGTATCACTGCTACCTTATTCACTCTTGTGTTCATGATATCCTCATAATGCACCCAGAGTCTGCCAGTGCAGACTACTGATCATATGCCTCTGTATAGCTAACCATCCTGGGTGATGGGGATTTTTAGCATCACGTAGCTAGCTTTTTGACACTGTACTCCCCTTCGTATAGTATAGGGTAGCTGTACAAATGCAGATGGACCTAAATGTGTTAATAATAAAAAAAATTGTCTCCGAATATCAACAAGGATTCAGACAAGTTCTGCTTAACTACTTTACTGGAGTTTAATAACAGGGTAACAGTGGAAATGCGAGCGTGCACGCGCCAGATATATATCCAGTATATATTGAGCTGAAAAAACAAATTATCAGATCCTAGGCATTCTTAACGGGCTGGTTAAGTGTTAATCCAGCACACTTAACCAACTGTGTGCTGGATTAATATTAAAATATATTAATTCGAAGGCTACTCACAATAAGAAACGTAGTACAGTATTTAATGAGACCCTAATTAATTACGCATATTAGGCCGGCTTGGCATCTTCTTTAACAATAACTTTCTCGTATTCGGCATAACACTAATCTAAAACGATAGAATAATGGCAGTATTAAGTTTCGCGTTCTGAAAATATTTAACAATGTAGAGAATGTAAAATGAATGTAGAGTAACTACAAACTTCCGTTCAGCGATAATAATTAATTGCCATAACAATAATTATATACAAAAATATCCCGTTTTCCACTTTCATGGTGAGGGGTGACATCAGCCAGGAGAATAAAAGGGGAATAAAATATCAAAAGAAGGTTAAAGATATTGAAAAAGAGTATCACTCGTCCATTCATTGCATCATATTAACTACAGCATCTCACACACACACACACACACACACACACACACACACACACACACACACAAACACACACACACACATGTACACACACACACAGGGCCTCGTAGCCTGGTGGATAGCGCGCAGGATTCGTAATTCTGTGGCGCGGGTTCGATTCCCGCACGAGGCAGAAACAAATGGGCAAAGTTTCTTTCACCCTGAATGCCCCTGTTACCTAGCAGTAAATAGGTACCTGGGAGTTAGTCAGCTGTCACGGGCTGCTTCCTGGTGTGTGGGTGTGTGTGTGTGTGTGTGTGTGTGTGTGTGTGTGTGTGTGTGTGTGTGTGTGTGTGTGTGTGTGTGTGTGTGGAAAAAAAAAAAAAGTTAGTAAACAGTTGATTGACAGTTGAGAGGCGGGCCGAAAGAGCAAAGCTCAACCCCCGCAAAAACACAACTAGTAAACACACACACACACATTCCATGAGTTACCGTCGTCGGCTTGTTACACACGCCTAAATATCATTACCCCACATTCGACTTGAGAATGGTCCAGGACGGACCGAAACGTCGTCGTCCCTTCACCTTCTAGTGTGTGGTCTGATCAACATCATTACCCCCACATTCCTTGCACAACATTCGAGATCCAGTCGAGATCCACAAAAAAAATAATAAGTTCGCTGCTTCAAGCTGTTTAAATTATGATTTAATAATTTCCAGAGCGCTTGTATAGGCTAGACTTCAACTAGCAAGTCTTACAAGTCTACAGAGATGAGCTTAACACTGGACATGCCAATGTCCAGTGTTAGTGTCCAACACTGGACTCATCTCAAGACATCTCTCAAGATGCCAGTAGCAGCTGGCTGGCGGGTCCATTTCCGGAGCAATACCCCCAGACCAACACGCCTCTTGCCTATAATATCATGTTTGTCCTATTAATAATACAAAGATGTTTCGCAAGCAAGCGAATAGGGCGGATAAAGATTAAATTACAAAGGAAGAGGAAGGGAAATAAAGATGGGTTAGGGAAAGGAGAGATCGAAGAAGAGGGGGGGGCCCAGGGAAAGGACCCCCCTCCGTCCCCCCCCCCCTTTTCGCCTCGATCCCTCCTTTCCTTAACGAAAGAGCAGAGCTCAACCCCCAGAAGCTCAACTAGGTGAATATGTGTGTTATTATGTCGTGTTTAAGGTTATTTACTGTTATTATTTATTTGTATATATACACATTTTTATGCAATTAATGGTGGGAGGGATTTCTGGTAAGTATTTCATCTGGGAATTACGTACTGTGGGGCTGGGTTTTCATCTAGTAAATCGAAGTTCTTGGACCACCAGCTGCGGGAGTGGGGCGTCTCATCATGGAGCAATCTTTCAAACATTGGGTCCTCTAATATTTGGATGGTGTTCCACACCCTGATGGCTTGGTGCTAATACCCCACCAGCATCATCCATGTTATAGTCATTCATCCACTTGTAAAGTCACTAGAACGTGCAGAATGACAGACGTCAGTCCCACAAACCAGAAACCTTCCATATAAATTGACTGAAAAGGCTCCACTCTCGCACCCCACAAAGGCGAAGA